ATAAATTAAAAAAATTAATGCTTTTACTGCTGATGGATATGCATATTATTATTATTATTATTATTATATTGATATTATTTTATATTTAAGATATATACTGTACTAATGCATATATTGAATCTACAGTATCAATAATATACAGTAATAATACATTTTTATGTAAAATATAAAATCAACAATGATATTACCAGACATAAAAATTTGCATATCTATAATATATTGTTGCGGTTTTATGTGTGTGTGTGTGTGTGTGTGTGTGTGTGTGTGTAATAGTATTGCTTTATTATTCAATGAACTAATAGTATGGGTTGCAGTGGTTTTAAGATTATATGTTAATATATAAATAAGTTCAATGTGTTTGTGTGTTATCTTAACTTTTTTTCCTATTCTCTTTGAAGACATTGATGAGGAGCACAGTTACACACACACACACACACACATACTTAGGACAGTCGTATATAACTTTGATTAATGATGTATTCAATAGACTTAAACCCTAAACAATTCATATACACAGTGGGTAAGTGAATGAGTGAGTGAGTGAGTGAGAGAGAGAGAGAGAGAGAGAGAGAGAGAGAGAGAGAGAGAGAGAGAGAGAGAGAGAGAGAGAGCTAATGCTTTTGTCCTTTTGCTACTCAAATGTCGACAGATAACAGGTCTTCACCAGTCTTTAATAGTGTATGTATTTTATCGCACATATACTATATGGCTGTACACAATATATTCAATATAAATTATATCAATATATGGATAAAGTGATGTATGTATGTGTGTGTGTGTATGTGTGTGTGGCATATCTCATAAAAATCACTTATTATGTTTATATTGTAAGTGATATACACTGTAGAATAATACTGTAGTATATATCGTATGGAAAGTATGTATATAAAGGGAAATGGCATCACATTTTTTGACACTCGGGTGTCAAATATTATTATTATTATTATTATTATTATCAACACTTATTTAGTGATGCATTTTTTTTGTTTAGGTTTCTATAGCATTGATTAATTTTGTAGCTATTTTTTGTTTGTTTTGTTGTCAGATATTATATTTGATGTTTTAAAGAAAACTAATAAAAATCATCATATAATTCATTGCATATATACTGTGTGTATAAATCAATATATATCTAATAATATTTTAAATTTACTATTAATATATTATATATATATAYATAAATTATTTTAAATTTAATCAAGTTAATTTTTGTGTTTTTATTTATTTAAAATTTAATTAAAATTAAAAAATAAATAATAATGTACAAGCTGTGATTGTCCAAACGCAATTCTTGTGCATTTAATAACCAAGAACTGTGTGGGGACATCAATGCTCGTACACAATGCTACACAACACACACACACACACACACACACACACACACACACATACATACATACACACATAAATACACACATAAATAGATACACACATAAATACATACACACATAAATACATACACACATAAATACATACACACAACACACACACATACACACACACATACATACACACACAAATACATACACAAATACATACACAAATATATACATACATACATATATTATATGTTTATAATATTTATTATATGCATATATAATATTAATTTTAACCATATGTATAAAATTTATATACACCTATACATTTATGTATGCACTCAAATTTTTAACTATTATAATATATTTTGTTACAGTATGGTTAAGTAAAATAACTTAATAATTTATTAAATATACAAATACACATATATAATATATCAAATAAATAAATAAATAAAATTTATATAAAATGTTTTAATAAAAATGTTTTCAATTTGGATATCAAAATATGTATTGAAAAAAACATACAGTAAGTGAAACAAAACATCTGTCGCTGGTTTTGTATACAAATATATTATAAACATTTTTGACTACAAAATTAAACTGTGAAAACTTGCGGCGATTAATATAATATGATATTTTTTTGATGGTATATATATAGAAATTAATATACATTTCTATTTTTAAAAAATAATTAAATATATTTTTAGTTTCCACATAAAAATTGTAATTATAACGAAAAATATATCCGTATATATATATATATATATATATATGTGTAACTTATAGTGTTTCAATTATATTTATAATAAGGAAAAATCAATTAATTTAATGTTAGTTTTATAATTAATTTAAAAATTGCTGTATCAGTAATAATATGGTAATTTAGTAATTAGTAATTTTTAAGTAACATTAATTTTATATTTAATAAATTACACTATATATATTAGTTTAATTGTTTAACTTAAATGTACATTAATAAATAATATATAAATTATTAATAGTTAATATAATTTAATTATATAAAAAAAATTATTTTTGTAATAAAATAAAGTAGTAATGTTTAACAATATTTTTACTTTAATTAATAAATAAAAAATATAAAATATTATACTGTATAAACATTAATATAATTTTTTTGCTAAATAACAAAATTGCTGTAAACATACAAAAAAAATATTTATCAATTTAATAAAATTTATTTATTAAAAAAAATAAAAATTCTCTATTTAAACAATTTTTCTTCAATTTGTATGTATATAAAAAATAAATGTCTATTTTTTAAAATTATATACGAATAATAAAAGTGTGTATTAAATATTTAAAAAAAAAAATTGAATTCAATGTAAATGTAAGTAAAAACTCTTTTATAGGCATAAAAAATTTGGTTGTCTTTTGTATGCTCTCTCTCTCTCTCTCTCTCTCTCTCTCTCTCTCTCTCTCTCTCTCTCCTCTTTCATCTCTAATCAACATATTTATTGAGAGTAAAGAGGAGTCGTCAAAAAAAAGTCGTGAGCTGTAAGTCAAAGTAAGTTATCTATTATAATATAAGTTATATATATATATATATATATATATATCCATAGATATGGTATTTCTTATTATTATTATACAGTATATTATAACTCTAGAGTACAGTATAGACAGTCAGCTCATAGAGTCAATCGTATGTGTATTATATGATTGCTTCTCTCTCTCTCTCTCTCTCTCTCTCTCTCTCTCTCTCTCTCTCTCTCTCTCTCTCTCTCTCTCATCCAATTCCTCACTATCTATCTATACATATAATATATATTAAAAGTGCATTTTTTCGTTCAATGCATCCATTGTTATATTTGGGATCACTATTATCACAACTTATATATATATATAGAAAAGATAATATATAATAGATTTGAAATTTACTATTATATTTTCCATCGAAAGTATAATTTTTATTATTTACTTATACGGGTAGTACTACTACTATATATATATATGTGCTCTTATATTATTCAATAAACGGGATATATATAATCACCCATTTGTATAGTCATTATACTTATACATTATATTATATAATACATACTATACTTTAGGAACAAAACAACACTAAGTTTTTTTAAATAATGCAATTTTCGTGCAAAAATTATTTAACGATTATTATATAAACAATTATTTGTATTATTATTGTGTATATAAAATAATAAGCTACTTATATATAAATATAGTATAACTATTTAATAAAAATCTTTTTAAAAACATTATTGTTTTATATATACAAAAATATTTAGTATTTAATATGTATATAATATATTTATATCAAAATTATTATTATTATTATCTGTTTTAAATTTAATAGCAATTGTTTTTTTTGTTGTTGTTATATCTTAATCAATTATCTGCCAAAAATAGTAAATTACTGCCAGTAGTAAATTTGTATGGCTACTAGTACTAGCACTGGTAGTTTTGTTGAAGCACTGTTATGTTAATAGCCCTTTTATTTAGTAATTAAATTATCTCTCTCTCTCTCTCTCTTTCTCTCTTAAAATAAATGAGATTAGATATAATTAAACAAAAATTAAACTCAATCTATATATAGATATACAGTATATTGTAGCTATCGATTACACAATAGGGATGGCTTAATAACCTGCTAATAAACTCTAGATTGTAAATACTGTCAGTCAGTTAGTTAGTCTGTATTATCAATAGCTGATGAGGAACAGTAGGTTTTTTTTTGGTGGGAGTACATATATATATATATATATATATATATATATATATATATATATATATCATACATACATGTCTATTCATGTATAATACTTTATTTGGAGGATTTAATTATATAATTTATTGCTTTTAAAGAGCACTTTTGTACAATACATTTGTGCAATATATTCAATACTGTACTATACTATAGAGTAAACTGTATTGTATATTGAAAATTTAGTAAAATATAAAATAATTATTTAAATATATATATATWTAWTAATTTTTACTTTAAATATATTAGATCGAAAATGTCTTCTAGTTTTTAAATTATTAATTTATTATTATTAATAATAATTGACAATTTATATATTTTTCAATATTATCAAGTATAGTTTTATATTGTCAATTAGGGTCAAATACCTTTATATTAATAAATTAATAATTAATATATGAAAATTATTTTTGTCATTTTCTTTAATGTATTATAATAAACTTTTTATATATATATATATATATATATATATATATATAATAAGCAATTACTCAATAACATTAATTTTTCAAAAAAATAAAATATTATACAAATTATTTTTAAGAAAATATATTTAAATAAATGTTCAAACATTTCAAAATTTTTCAACTATTAATTCAAATTTAATTTTTTATTTAATAATATATATTTTTTCAAAAATATACATTCAAAACATTTATATTAAACAGTATTTGATAAATAAAATTTGTTCCCCATATTTATTTCAACATTAAAACATTACTTAATATTAGACTATATATATATATAGTATATTATACTGTATATATAATATATATCAATTAGCAATTTAATATATATAATTTATTTTTCAATTAACAACATTATATATTAAAAACAAAATTATTACACAACTATTAATATATATATATATATATATATACTCTAAATACTGAACTTTATTTTTATTTTATTTTGTTTTTTTTATATAAAAAGTATAACTAATTTTTGGTGCAATGTTTTCTTGGTGTTTCCTCTAATGGGAAATGTATCTGAGGAATAGGCATACCATTCCAATAACCCTATTAAAGGTACGGTAGAGATGTTATTAGTAATAATAATAATATTCAATAAACATAAATCAATAAAAAAATAAAAAATAGTAGATTTATAATATTATCAAATAGTAGAGTATATTACCGGAAATCGTTGACCGGATGATTGATTGCATTGCATGGACAGTGGGGCCAAACGGTATAATCTGTCCAAAAATTGTACTCTATTTGGATTCCAATGGATTGATTGAAAATTTTCCCGAACACTACCATTGGATGCTAGAGTCGACTGTCCTTCTCTGGCATTCATATATCGGAAATATGATCGCAAATATTGTGTATCCATTGAACTTTTGCATACTTCGAGCTGTGTTTTCGGATAGTAATGCAAATAATTGACACACATTTCATCGGTAATTGCATGGCCACCGAGTGTCATATTCACGCGTCCGCGAGTATCAAATCGACACGTATTGATCAGTACATCGCCGGGAAATATGGTCACCTGTTGCTTAAGTTTACGTATCTCCTGAAAGTGTGGACTGTAATGATTATCGCGATTTATTTCCGTCAATTCGACGCCACCCCTGATATGTCGGGTCCAGACCCGTGTACCAGTCAAATGCGTGTGCAATTGTGATGCAAATATGTTAATACCGTAGACGGGTAGCCCGGATCGGGTACATTCAGCCGTACAATAACCAGATAAATCAAACGACTGTTGCCCGGGAGGTATAGAATTTTTGGCCGAATATTCCAAACCGATTTCTAGGATACCGGCGTCGTGTTGTCTTAATTGTTGGGTATAGTATAGTCTAATACCGGAGCCATCGATCCAGTCGTCACGTTGTTCAGGATTATTGTAGTGTATTTCAAGCATAACATACAGGGAATAGTTGCGACCACCGACAGGTAGACCCGTTTGTTTTGGATAGACCAGTGGCTAGTAATCAATAATATTAAAAAAAATTTGTTACTTAATAATTAATTAATAATTTTTTGAAGTTATATATTTATATAAACAACAAACCCCGGCGCCCATAGCCCAGGCAGATATTACACGACTACATGCGCTCATTGCCGCAGGTTTTTCGGGTGCAAAACAATTGCCACTATAATCGCTAAGTGAGTCTTCAGCCGATACCTCGCAGTGGAACAGTTCCATGTGATGAACCTTTTTTTTTAAGGATGTGATGTTATAATAGTTTTTAAAATTTTTGTTTGTTTGTTGTCTACACCTACCAGTGCTTCATTGCCTGAATCGATAACTGCCTCATACTGTATAATATGATGTTTGGTATCTTTGAACTCTTTCGGCAGTTTCAATAGCCGACACCAATAGGTTGTCTCAACGTTGGGTATACTGACCCGATCGTTGAGCAAATCAAATCGTCTGGTATTTGATGGCAACTTTGGCATTGTTTCCAACTTCTTGAGCAACTGAACCCTTTGGTAGCCGTATTTGTGATCAGTTAGACGCAGGCCATCGATCCGCTGGAGGCCTCCCTTTCCAGTGGCATAGACTATATGTGTTGTTCCCTCCTTGAAGTGAGTGAGAGAGAGAGAGAGAGAGAGAGAGCAGTATTTTAAATAAACAAATAACTAATTATTATAATAACAATCACACTATTAATACCTCAATTATATAGTCATTGGGATCGCAGGTATCAAAATCCCGGTGATAGGCAAACCTTAATATATGGTGTTTTCGTTCAATACTCAATAGTTTACAATCGTTGGTCAGGTCGTCGACAAACACAAAACTATTGTTATCGGTGTGTATGTCCTGAAAAATGGGGGGTCGAAAAACAATACAAATTACATACACACACACATAAAATATTGACTATAACTCATATATTTTTTAAAAAAAACAATACAACACACAGGTATGTCATACGCCATACCATACCCACAGRTCATACACCCGAATTCATACCTGAAAGTGTGTCTTACGATGTTTTCCATGTCGTCTATCCGTCCAAAACATACACATATCAGCTCCGCGTATATCTCCATAATCGGAGAATCCAATGGCAAACCAGTCGTTAATGTCCGCCAAAACCAATCGCAACTCCATTGTTACCGATTGGGTTTCATAGTCGACTGTCCAAAACAATCGGTATCTATCATCGGCGTCCAGTGCCGTCTGAAATGTTATATTAGTGGTCAACGGCTGCGGTTGCGACGACGATAGTAGCCGTTCATCATCGCTATTATTGATGGTATCGATAGATGCCTGTAGTAATTGATGATTAAAATGAAAATAAAATAAAAAAATTAGCGGCGAAAACATAATAAGATTTAAAATCAACAAAAATCGCAACGTCTTTGTCTGGGAACTGTTCAGTGCAAGTGTTAGATAAACTAAACAACGATTAACAACATCTAATGAAGAGCCAGAACTGGTGGCCATATATATGATATGAGAAGCAAATGATTAAACAGCGAAATACCTCAACAAAAAAAAATAAGTCGACAGAAGTTGAAGAATGAGAGARAGAGAGAGAGAGAGAGAGAGAGAGAGAGAGAGAGAGAGAGAGAGACTAGAAAAATATTTTAATATAATATAATAAATAATAAGTAATAATAATAATAATAATAATAAATGACTAGAAAAATGCTTATTGCTATCAAATGGATGAAAATATTTTCGGTATTTCATTTCATATATATATATATATATATATATATCATAGCATATCATCATCTCTTTTATCTATTACATAATTTTTAATGTCCAATATCTTATATGTCAAACAACCAACCAAGTGATAGAGCACCGGCAGCAACAGGTTATCATCAAATAAAAATTTAGTCAATATWWATAACTATCGATATTTATCTCATTAAACTTTAATTGACACAAAAAAAATAATTTTCTATATATAATAAATAACTATTTTTTACGATTCTTATGTGAATAATTGATTATTTTTTTTAATTAATAAATAAATCACTGTTTATATTTTCACGTAAGTCAATCACAATTTTATAATTTGGTGTAAAGTGGAAAAATTTTTTATTATAAAATGATATCATAAGGTATTTAATGCAAAAACAAATCAAAGAGACCCCTCCATCACCACCACCACTATCGCCACCCACCCAGTGATAGGTTTATATTAAAATTATGTCTGTCTTTCCTTGTAATGGAAAGTGTTGGATGAGATGGAAGAGAGTAGAGTGAGTGAGTGAGTGAGTGAGTGAGTGAGTGAGTGAGTGAGTGAGTGAGTGAGTGAGTGAGTGAGTGAGTGAGAGAGAGAGAGAAAACTTACAGTGAGAGAGAGAGAGAGAGAGAGAGAGAGAGAGAGAGAGAGAGAGAGAGAGAGAGAGAGAGAGAGAGAGAGAGAGAGAGAGAGAGAGAGAGAGAGAGAGAGAGATTAGAGAGAGAGAGAGAGAGTTGTACTGTATTTGCAAAACTTATGAACTCTTTTATCTTTTGAAAAATGCGATTATTATTATTATTATTAGTTTTTTTTAATAAATGGTTGCCTAAAAATTCCTCGATATTCTGGAAGTAATATTTGAATTCCTTATTGTTAGCCATCACTCGGAGTGTCATAAAATATTTTTGATGATAAAAGTGTTTTGCATTTTTATTTTTATTTTTTTGATGACAACATTCCTCACTATTTATAGATATATAAATATATGTCTAGATATAAATTATATATTATATAATATATATAATAATAATAATAATAATCAACATTACTCTTCATCTACTTAATAGTTATAATAAGTTTTATATTATTTATCATTTATAATGTAAATTATATGGTATATTGAATTTATAGCTATTAATAATTAAATTAATAAAATAGTGTTTTATTAGAAATTTAAAACTAATTGCGTTTTTTAAATGTTAAAATGTTTGTGTGTGTGTGTCTATAATACCTGTATATTTAATTATTTTGAATTTAAAAAAAAAAATTAGCATGCTGCTACAAACTAATTAATTTTTAAAATTAATTTTTTTATAACTAATTAGCTTTAACTGTATATATAAATAAATATATATATATATACGGTACAGTACAGTAATAATAATATAATTTAAAAAATTTATAGCAATTTATTTTGTCTGTAAAATAATAGTCTTTAAGTGTTATTTTTTTTGTCTTAAAAAACACTGTATAAAAATTGTAATGACTTAATTGCTGCTTATTGTTATTATAAGATATAATTAATTATTTTAACAGTAAAACCAGTAAAGTACTTATTATTATTATTATTATTATTATTATTATTAGTACAATACAAACAAACTTAATATTTAATTAAATATTTACGACTAATTAAAAATAAAACTTGAGAATAAAAATTGAATGTTTCCTCAAAAAAATAATATTTGTTTTACTAAATAAAAAATTTAGTTTAAACAAATAAATAATTTTATTTTTTTAAAATAATACATACAAAACTAAGTAATTTATTAGGAAAATTACAACTATGTTTAGAGAGAGAGAGAGAGAGAGAGAGAGAGAGAGAGAGAGAGAGAGAGAGAGAGAGAGAAAAAAAACAAACTTATATATCAAATAAATAATTAAATTAAAAATAGTTATTAAATAATAATGTCTAATATTTCTAAACACTTATGATATTTAACAAAATAGTGAGCAAAAAAATGTTTAATTTGTAAAATCATTGTTAAAATCAATTTACTATAGTATTAACTATAAATAATAAATTTTTAAATATACATATATATTAACATGCAATTTATACAGTAACTAAATTACTATAATTAAATTGCTAATTTTATTTGTGTTATATAAATAAATAAAAAAATATTTGTTTATAATTAGATAATTATTTTTTTCAAATACTGTATATTTAGTGTATAGCATATGCACTGTCAATCATTATTTAAGTAAATCAAATAACAAATAATAATTGTATTTAAATAATATTAATAATTTTAAACAATAAATATTAAAAAATTTTATAAAGTATATTTATATAAAATTATATTTAATTAAATATAAATTATTAAAAAATTTGAAATCAACTAAATGTTGTCATTATTAGTTAAAGTATAATATGGTATGACTTAAACCAACTAATCGTATGATACAAAGTCCGCCTTAAAAAATGTTTATTATTATCACATAATTATTATATCAAAGTCTCCAGTGATTTATTTTTAAAAATAAAGATTGTTTTTTATTTTATTTTAAAATCAAATTATTAGATTAATTTAACAATATTTTTTAATATCATAACTAAATATTAAATTAAATACAATGTATTACTATATATACACTGTGTGTAAACATAAAACAAAATTATTGCTTAAATTAAATTAAGAAAAACCATTAACCAATCAAATATATATATWTATATATATATATTTAGTTGTAATTTAAATTTTAATATATTATATATAATATTTATTATAATAATATAACATCATATATATATATAAATGAAAATTCTTACAAATAATAATAATTACCGGTATATAAAAAAAATGTGAATTTTTCATTCATTTACCGGTAATAATAATAATAATTATTATTATTATAATTAAAAAAATTTGTTAACAAACAAAAATCATATATAAAATTAAGAAAAAATTCTTCAATTAAACAAACAATCAAAAAATAATATATAATTCAATAAAATTGATCCACAAATCATTGGGAGAGAGAGAGAGAGAGAGAGAGAGAGATAATAATAATAATAATAAAATAAGACTCAAAATCTATCAAATGATATGACTTTTTTCCCCTTCAATACAATCAAATCTCTTAAAGAATAAACGGAACAATTGCTTTGCGATTGCGGGGATAATTGGGAAACTCTTTCTTGTAATTGCGATGTTTGGCCAGTGCCCAGATGGCCATCTGTATGAAACCGGCAGCGGTAAACATGGCCGCCGGCAAGCATTGAGTCATTACGCTAAAAGCGGCCCACGAATACCATTCGTACGCGTAGTTCGGACACGAAACGTACTGAAACAAAATGGTGAACGGGTTGGCGGTGGGCATCGGTATGCGACGTTCGGTACTGCCGGCCGGTCGCAGATCACGGAGTGCCAAATGTATGGATAGATTGCCGAACTCGAACAGTAGGAAACCGATAAGGGATGAGTAGACTTGAAGTTTGCCTAAATAGGGTTCGGTATACAGAGGATGGTTGACATAATAGCCGATATAGAAAGCGAATCCCCAATAGTAGGAACAGTTCTTGAATAGGTTCATCAATGGCATTGTCGAGTGAGAAAATCGATGGACAAACAATGTCTCAAGTATACGTTTCACGTAATGTATTGACCAACAAATGGCGGCCAAATGTACGACATAACTGATCGGTTGTCCGGCATTGTGGCCGTATAGCCAAGCGGGTCGCGTATAGGACAACAAATAAGCAAACAGTGGTCCGGCGTATTCGCAGATGAAAACTGTTGACCAACCGATTTGCGGTCCCAAGTCTTTTATGTATAGATTGCGTCCGTTTTGTAGATCCAATGTCTTCAGTTGGACATCATCTTTGAGTGCCTTTCCTCGGGGTTCCGATCGCAGAGCTTGTCGTTCAGGATATAGTGACCTTCGCTGTCGGTAAATGGCTTTCTTGATGTCGCCGACTGTCGAGTTTGGGCTAATGTCGGTCAATGTGACCAATGGTTTGGCCGCTGCTGCCGCGTCTTTACCGCCGCTGGCTTTCAATATATCCAAATCCATTGATTATTATTATTAACCGATGATTGTCTTCTGTAAAGAAATGTCAGATCCGGCGGTGTTTTTGTAATGCAAACGACAAACAACTGACTGAATGAATGAATGAATTCAATGAATGAATGATTGAATGAAATGTTTTTTTTAATAAAAAAATTTAATTACATTTTACTTATTATTATTATTAGTTGTTATTTGAAAACTAAAAACCCAAACGAAAAATAAAATTATTATTATTTTTCCTCAAAAAAACTAAAATAATTTAATATTAAATAATAATTAAATTATTATTTTTTGTTAACAAACTTTTAATACTTGTATTCATTCAATGCAATAGAGATATACTGTATATTAAATAAACATTGATTTTTAAATGACTGTACAGACAGTGTTAACGTCACAATTAAATCAGTGATTCGTTACAAAATAATTACAAAATTTTTTTTTATATTAATTCAAATGTATTGTTATTTTTTATTTGTGGGGAATCTCTATAAATAAAAATACTGAATATATATAACGCTATTTGTGAACAAATTGTATCCAAAATATATATATACAGTTAAACGCTCGGTATAGTAGTCATAGTCTTAAAAATATAATAATATTATTTAATAGATTTTTTTAAATATTTGTTTATTTTTAAACTAAAAAAATAATAATAACTTATTTTCTCAATTCATACAAAATTTACATTATATTTATACAAATATTTATATTGTTTTTTTTAAATATAATTGTGTTTAAATTTAAAAAAAAAATTATTAAAAAATTTTTATTTAACCAAAAATAATATTAGACTTCAAGTAAAATACAGTTTATATATGAATGACGTCATTGAATGTGTGACTCATATGCAGTGATAAAATGAATGATTGGTTTTTTTTTGATAAACAAATATAGAGTAACCAAACACACACTTTAGTTTATTTTTTAAAAATATAAAAATAAAAATTATCATTAAAAATACAAATGAAAAGCACAATAAAAAAAACATTTTATTTTTTACAAAATTTAGATTTTTCAACAACAAAAAAAGTTTTTTTTTTTAAAAAAAAGCTAAATAATAATTTTTATTTTACAAATTATGTTTTTTGTGGGTTAATTAAAAAATAATTATAGTTATTCAGTCACTATACATACGTATATATTTATGTATGTTTTTTATATACGGTATGTACTGTACGTTAGGCAATGCAGATATAATATTATATGACTAACGCTATTACTATTACTACAGTATAGTAACACTGTGTGTGTGTGTGTAAAGTACAGTACAGTACAAGTATAGATTACTATAGATTAGAGTATTACAGATTGTAAAACGGTTTGGTGTTTCCCAGTATTTTTTTATTTAACCAAACAGTTAACGGTTTTTTATTATAAACCAACAAAATTTTAAATCTAGTCAGTGCTAGACAACAACAAAAAAAACATAAAAATAATAAACATTTTACTATTTTTTAAAAAATACGGTTTGGTTTTTTTATCTATAAATAGTAACAAATTTAGATTTTAACAAAATTTTTTGTACAAACGGTTTGGTTCGTTAAACAGGAACGGGATTACGATAACACACTTCTAGTACTACTCTACTTCTACACTGTATGTGTTATTAATAGTCACTGCAAGTATTGAATGAATAATAATAATAATAATACTATTAATACTGTACTATACTGTAGGTGTCTATTGGATTGCATGGAGAGTATTGATGTCAATATTGTTATGACATTTGATTTACAATTGAATTCAATTCAATCAAACCATTCATACGAATCAATCAATCAGTTTGTGATAACTGTTTGTCTCCACTGAAGATCACAACAACAACTCAGAAGACATAAGAGAAGAACAACAACAAGAAGAAGAAGGAGGAGTAAGAAGTCTTCATCATCGGTGTCGACGATCGACAAGGAGGACGACAACGACGATGGCGTTGAAACAAATGGTCGGACAAAGTAAGTGAACAATTAGATGGTTGTCTTCAGTGGTCATCAGTTCATCGATGGTCTAACTGTTTGTTTTCATCTATATATATATGTATAGAGATTATCAACGACGTGGTGAGGGCTTCCAGAAAGAAGGGCGAATGGAAAGTCTTGATAGTGGATCCGTTAGGCATGAGAATGATGTCTTCGTGTACAAAGATGCACGAAATTGCCGGCGAAGGTATCACTATTGTCGAAGATATTGGCAAAAAACGGGAACCGCTGCCCAACATGGAAGCAATTTATCTGATATCGCCCACCGATAAGGTTTGTTTTGGATATCAATTGGTAGTACTCGATGTCCAGATATTTTGTTGTTTATTATTGTTGTTGTTGTTGTTATTGTTATATATCTAATAACTAACTCTTTGTTTTGTTTTTCGTTTTTTTTTTTTGGTATCAAATTGTCTCAAAAAAACTTCTTTGTTGTCAATTATCACTGAAAAAAATATTGTTTCCATCGATTCCTTTATCCCCTAATTATTTGTGTTTTTTATTTTCTTGTAATTTGTAACTTAAAAAAACAAAAACAAAACTTTTTTGATGTCTTACTTTATTGTCTCCTATCTATCTATCTGTCGCTACTATTGATGTCTGTATACAAATCACTTGTGTCTTAATCCACTTGTTGTCTATCGATGTCTTTAATCTCTAACAATGTCTCGTAAAACTGATCCAAAAAACCCCACACAAAAAAAACTTATCTAATAATCATCGGCTTCTCTGTGTAATAATAATAATAATATGACTGTTGTTGATCTAACCGTTTAATATATATACAGGAAGTAAGTGGTCTCTCATATAAATTGTAGTTTTTTCTAATAATAATTATTTATAATAGTTTTGATTTTATTATTTTTTTTATCAAAATTTTATTAACACATTTACCCATATTTAAGTGCTTATGTATATTGTATTGATAAATAAATAACAAAATATATATATATATAACTATGAATCATATCCTAACTATCTATCAATCAGTCTATCGCTCTTATCTACCTTTACCCGTATGTCTCTCTCTCTCTCACTTTCTATCATAGGCTATGATTCATAGCCTACCGTTTCTCTCCCCCGCCGGGAGAGTCCCCCTGCACTTCCCTAATGTTTGTTTATTGATAAACTGGTTACTTATATACTGTATATATTAATATACATATAGTGTACCGGTATATTAGATAATAGTTAGTAATTAAAATTGAATCCAATTTGATTTCACAATTTGTTTTTTGTTTTGCAGTCAATAAGACTACTACAACAAGACTTCCTGAGCTCGCGTATAGCCCTGTATAAGGCGGCCCATGTCTTCTTCACCGAGTCATGTCCTGATGAACTATTCAACGAGCTCTGCAAGAGTCCCTGTGCTAAGTATATCAAATCGTTGAAAGAGATCAACATTGCTTTCCTACCGTACGAGTCCCAGGTCTTCTCGCTCGACTGTCACGAAGCATTTCATACTAACTATAATCCAATCAAACAATCACAACGAACGGCAACATTGGAACGACTAGCCGAACAAGTGGCCACTTTGTGCGCCACACTCGGCGAATATCCAAGTATTCGGTATCGATCGGAGTTCGACCGTAATGTCGAATTGGCACAACTTATCCAACAAAAATTGGACGCTTATAAAGCCGATGAGCCGACTATGGGTGAAGTAAGTGGTGTTCGGTTTTTTTTGTGGTGATAGTTGTCTTACATGGATGTTCTCTCTCTCTCTCTCTCTTTCCCTTTTTAGGGCCCAGAGAAGGCCCGTTCGCAGCTGATAATCGTCGACCGGGGCTTCGATTGTGTATCGCCTTTACTACACGAACTGACATTCCAGGCAATGGCCTACGATCTGTTACCCGTTGAAAATGATGTCTACAAATTTGAAGCGGCCAGCGGTAACGAAGTACGGGAAAAGGAGGTTATACTCGACGACAACGATCAGACATGGGTCGAGTTGCGTCACCAACACATTGCATTGGTATCGCAGAATGTAACCAAACAGTTGAAAAAGTTTATCGAAGAAAAGGGTATGCGTACCAATGATAAGACATCGATGAAAGACTTGTCTCAAATGATCAAAAAGATGCCCCAATACCAGAAAGAGTTGTCAAAATACTCGACACACTTGCATTTGGCCGAAAGCTGTATGAAAGCCTATCAAGGCTATGCCGATAAACTGTGTAAAGTCGAACAGGATCTGGCTATGGGTACCGATGCTGAGGGCGAAAAAATTAAGGATCCAATGCGTAATATTGTACCCATACTATTGGACCAACAAGTCGGCATATTTGATAAAATTCGTATAATTTTGTTGTATATAATATCGAAAAACGGTATCAGCGAAGAAAATCTGGCCAAACTGATCCAACACGCGGCCATACCCGCACAGGACAAGACTATCATAACAAATATGTCGATGTTGGGCGTGAATATCATTACCGACAACAGTCGCCGTAAGACACACCAGATTACACGTAAAGAACGCATTACCGAACAGACCTATCAGATGTCCAGATGGACTCCGATAATCAAAGATATTATGGAAGTAAGACATTGATTGTTGTTGTTGTCAGCAATAGTACCGATAATTAATGTTTGTCTGTTAATAATAATAGGATGCAATTGAAGACAAGTTAGACGATAGAAAACTGTTTCCATTTCTGGGCGGTCGGACTCAGCCGAGTAATTTTGGTCGACCGGCGCCGACTAGTATGCGCTACGGCCAGTGGCATCGGGACAAGAATGCACTGAACATTAAGAACGTTCCGCGTCTGATAGTCTTCTATGTGGGCGGTCTATCCTATTCGGAGATGAGATGCGCCTACGAGGTGACCAATGCGTCGAAGAACTGGGAGGTCATCATTGGTCAGTAGTTGTTGTTATTGATATTATTATTATTATTATCTGAGATTTGTTTTCTCACTATATATTGATTTTTTCTGGTTCTGTTCATAGGCTCCGATCATATAATAACTCCCGAAAGCTTTCTTCAAGATCTTCGCGAACTCAGTAATAATTGATTGATTGGCGTTTTGCTGACCAAACCAACCAACCAATCAATCGCTTCTATGGATTCACACCAATGTATTCAAAAAATGATGATATATTATATATATATATATATACTTACAGTATATGTTTGTGAATACCGTTATTTAGTTTTTCTCTTAAAAACAACAAAAAAATTATTACATTTTAATCATTATTTCAAAGAAATACATTTTTAACAGATTTTATTATTAATATTATTATTATTATTATAAATTTAATTATATAATTATTAGTATTATTGATTTATGATGATTAATAATGCAATTGCAGTGAGTGATATACATACCGTACAATTAATTAATTACCGATTAATTACCCGATATAATATATATATATATACAGTATATATATATATATGATTGAAGTAAATTTACAAACCATACGGCAGTTTATATATATATTATGCCGTTAATTATTATTATTATTATTCCCTCGAAGCCATTCCTATTGAAAAATATATATTATTACAGTATATTTAATATGAAATCAATTGAGGAAAAAAACATTATTATTATTACCGTATATTATAATTGTTTTTAAAAACAAAATCATTATATTATTATAGTTTATACAGGTATATATATATATAATCTACCGTAAAGTTATTCATAACAGTTATTTAATTATAAAAAATGATAATTAAATTATTTACTAAATTATATCCAAAAAAAACTAGTCATCTAAAAGAGTTTATTATTATTATTATATTATTAATTAATTTAAAATATATTTATTTATTATAATATATTATTTGTTGCATAATTGTTGACATTATTATTATTATTATAAAAGTAAAAATAATTTAAAGTATATGAAAAATTATATATATATATATATAGAAATACAGTATATAAACAAACAAAAAATTATATCTAACATTAACTGTTATTATTATAATTATTAGGGAGTTATATCACTAATGATATACAGTATATAAATATTTGATTTTGACAGCTATTAACCAATAATTGTCAAAAACTAATGTGAAAAAAAAGTTTTAGCCTAAATAAGACATATTAAAATTTAATTATAATATTATAATTAAATTGTATACTTATTTACTATTAATTAATTACAATTAATTAAATTGTATTACTGTATATATATATACAGTAAATAAATAACTTTAAAATACGGCTTTAATTTTAGTGGCTAATAGTTTATACAAATTAGTTGAAACTTGAAATTAAAGCACTTATATATATATATATTTAAAATAAAGTATAAATAACTTGTATAATCAAATGCAATAACTTATTATTATTATTATTAATTATTACTATTATTGATAACAATTATAGTAACAAAAAATAAAGATTATTACTATTATTATTATTGATTACCGAAGCTATTGTTTTTTATTTCATACACACACTTTACCGTAGTATCAGTTATTATTATCGGTACTATTGGTAACCGATATCGACTGATCATTATCTCCGGGATTCCCGGACCTATTGTAAGGACCGTTAAAAAACGATTGTTTAGTCACAAAAAAATGATTTTTTTATTTATTAAATATCGGATTTAATTACAAATCATTTTATTTTCCAAACAAAAAAAATGTAATCAACAGTTAAACGCCTGAAAACGGATCTCTCTCTCTATGTCTCAGTTTTCTTCGGAGGCGCCGCCCGACGACTCTTCTTTGTCGGCTTCGGCTTCTGACTCCTCAGTATAGCACTGGCTCTGCGAAGACAGACCTATGACAAGATAAGACACCAAAAAAAGACAATTAAAAATCAAATCAAAATTATCTGTCAAAACAACAACTAAATCACAAATCAAATCAAATAATTACATTCTTCAGGTCAGTTCGGTATAAGTTTTTGTTACAAAACTTCTTAATGTTGTTCAATGTCCGACGGGCGTCCTTATTGAGGACAATTTTGGCCACACTTTGGCCAGGTTTTTGCTGATGACGGCGTTTCTTGTACTGCAAGGTAACACCTTTTCCCGATGAATTCGGTTCAACGGTCAACGCTTTTTGCTGGTATTGGCCTTCAAATCGCGGTACGTATAGACCTTTCGGATTGAATCGCGATCGGCTAAAGTGGCGATCAATGCCGCGTACTTTGATCAACGATGATGACCAGTTGCGGGTCAATACCCATTGCAGATCGCGGGACATACCGACACCTTTGACCATTTTGTGTGTCTGTGTGTGTGTTCACTAAATCAATCAATCAAATCATGGGATCAGTTGGTGATTTCAATCATATCAATTGATACTTACAATCACTTCAAGAGTGGAGTTGTATTGATGTCCACAAAAACTGAAGAGGAAAAGGAAGTACTTTTTTAAGACATAACACAAGTTATACATCAATAATGTCTACACAAAACACGTGGTATTTATTAGTTGTATATTAAAAAAATAAATACCAAATAAAGTAAAGCAATAAATACTGTATTAAAAAGCATTGAATGACTGGAAAGCATTGCATTCATTGTCTGAATTGTTTTCTTCATAGAAATTACACCCAAAATATAATAATAAACTTTTTGATTGTTTTTTGGTTATCAATAATTATCACCGCATCTGATCCATAAAGTCAGTCGACAACAACACCGACAACAACAACAATGCTTAATATACAGTCGCGATCACTGAATCCGGTAAACATTTTGAAAGGTGAAGCCGAAGAAGAAAAATCAGAAAATGCTAGACTTTCGTCGTTTATCGGTGCCATCGCTATCGGCGAACTGGTCAAGAGTACATTGGGACCGAAAGGCATGGACAAGATATTGTTGTGCGAAGGCCGCAATGAAGGCCGTGTCGAAGTGACCAACGACGGAGCGACCATTTTGAGGGCTGTCGGCGTCGACAATCCGGCCGCCAAAGTATTGATCGACATATCAAAGGTAAGGATTGACCGACAGATCGGTTACCGATTATATTATTAATGTCATTGACTTGTATTTAATGATTCGCCAGACCCAAGACGATGAAGTCGGTGACGGAACTACTTCGGTGGCTGTATTGGCCTCCGAGTTGCTTAAGGAAGCCGAACAATTGGTATCAATGAAACTACACCCGCAAACAATTGTGTCCGGTTGGCGTAAGTCGGTCAATGCTGCCCGCGAAGCACTCGAATCGGTAGCAGTGGACAACAGCGCCGATGACAAACAATTTCAATCGGATTTGTTGAATATTGCGCGGACAACCCTGAGCTCGAAGATACTGTCGCAACACAAGGATTTTTTCGCCAAACTGGCCGTCGATGCTGTAGTCAGACTGAAAGGTTCGGGCAATTTGGATGCCATTCAGATAATCAAGAAACTCGGGGCCAGTCTTAGCGATTCGTTTCTCGACGAAGGCTTTCTATTGGATAAGAAACCGGGTGTTCATCAGCCGAAACGTATTGAAAAAGCACGGATATTGATTGCCAATACACCGATGGACACCGATAAGATCAAAGTGTTCGGCTCCCGAGTTAAAGTCGACTCGATTGCCAAAGTGGCCGAAATTGAATTGGCCGAAAAAGAAAAGATGAAAGATAAAGTCGATCTAATACTTAAGCATAATATCAATGTGTTTATCAATAGACAATTGATTTACAACTACCCGGAGCAATTGTTTTCCGATTCGGGTGTTATGGCCATTGAACATGCAGACTTTGACGGCATTGAACGCTTGGCATTGGTTACCGGCGGCGAAATTGTCTCAACATTTGGAAATCCCGATAAAGTTTGTGTTTTATTGCTATTTAATTTATTAGAAAAAAGTTATTAATTAAATGTTTTTTTGTGAATAATTTTTAGGTACGTTTGGGTACGTGTGAGCTCATTGAAGAGATAATGATCGGTGAAGACAAACTATTGAAGTTTTCGGGCGTACCAATGGGCGAGGCCTGTACTATAGTCCTGAGAGGTGCCACTCAGCAGATCCTCGACGAAGCCGAACGATCCATTCACGATGCACTGTGCGTACTGTCCCAGACAATCAAAGAACCTCGTATTATCTACGGCGGCGGTTCAACTGAGATGCTAATGGCCAACGCTGTCTCGTTGTTGGCCGCGCAGACTCCCGGCAAAGAATCGTTTGCAATGGAAGCTTTTGCCAAAGCCCTGCGATCGATGCCCACAACTATTGCCGATAACGGTGGCTACGATTCAGCTCAACTGATATCCGAATTGCGTGCCTTTCACTCACGCGGTCAACACTCGATGGGCTTGAATATGGATTTGGGAACCACTGGCGATATGCGCGAACTGGGAATCATTGAGGCGTTTATTGTCAAACGTCAGGTACTGCTGAGTGCTGCCGAAGCCGCCGAAATGATACTACGTGTCGACAATATTATCAGAGCTGCTCCCAGAAGACGCGAACCCGACCATAGAGGACACTAAATCATTGATTGATTGATTGATTATTATTGCATTAATTAATAACTGTTTTTTTAAAAATAATTTTTGGCGCATATATTATGTCATCAATTAATAATAATAATTTTTTGTGATTATTTTTTATTTAATTATCGGATAATAATTTATAACATTAATTAAAAATCAAATAAAAATGATAATAAAACTATAATACAGAATAAGTTTAATAAATAATATTTTAAAATTTTATTTTTTATAATTACTACTACTATCACTACTACTATCACTACTACTATCACTACTGTTACCATAAACGGCCATTACTTCGAGTAGCGACACTCCGACGGCGATACTGACGCCTACGACTGCCATATCGACGACCAAAACGGTGCCGGTCGGAACTGTAGGCGACGGTTCAGGCCGCGGACACCGTGGGTTTGGTGCCACAGACAAAGGGAGCCACGGGTTGGTACGGCGGTTGTTATTATTAAATTATTTTAAACTTTTTTTTTTAAACATTATATAATTTATTTATTAATTAATCAATCGATACATAATTTTATTTTTTTAAACACAAAAATTAATATATAATTTGATTACCGGTAATAAAAAAAACATATATTTATATTTTTAATTCAATTATATCGGATATTATTGTTGTTGTAGTATTTCATCAATAGATGATATGAAAATCACAGAGGAATAGGTTTGCCGTCATAGTTAAGAAAATCACCTAAAGTTTTATCATTAATCGCGCGGATAGTGTCCAACATTTTCGACACACTCTCGCCGGTAGTAATCAGGGCATTAGGTCCGCCCATATCTGTCTGTACCCAACCGGGATGTAAAGCAATTGCCCGAATATTATCGGCCTTCAGATCGATGGCCAAACTTTTGGTAATCATATTCAGCGCCGATTTGCTCGATCGATACGGATATCCACCGCCGGATGTATTGTCTTCGACTGAACCGACTTTTGACGATATATTCACAACAGCCGTCTTGCGATTAGCCGAAGCAGACTTTGGTAGTGGACATGAAATATAAAGACATTTTAAATCAATTGAATTGATGAAGACTTCCAACTAATAACAATACAATACCTTCAACAGTGGTAACAGGGCTTTGGTTAGCATCAGTGGTGTAACCGAATTGATTTCAAAGTTTTTCAACATATCTTCGGCGGTAACCTTCTGTAGGTTACTGTAGATCAAAATCCCCGCATTGTTCACCAATGTGTCCAAACCATCCGAACCGACAATTGTGGCAACTTTCTGGACAAACCCGTCGTAACTATCGTAGTCTTTGACCTCAAGTTTGAGTACATGTAACCGATCGGGATTAGTGGACACCAGTTGATCCAATTCGGGATTTGCCGACTGTCGGGACGTAACGATCAAATGTTTCGGTGGCGACTGTGTGGCCAACAATTGGCGTACAAACTCCAGTCCAATACCACGATTAGCACCGGTTATGATCACTGATTGGAGACTCATTGCGGTGTTTCGGGCGATCAAAAAAAGTGGTCAATTAATTGATTTAAATGATTGAACAAACAGACAGACAGTGTGTTTGACAAACAAATAGCAAATAGTTTTTCAATACAATAACAAACTGTGTGTTTATATACTGTACTAATCTATAGAGTGACCAAAAATTTTTTTTGTTTGTTTGCCCTGTATTTGTATATACAGTATTGATAACTATATTTATATATTAAATTAAAAAAAATATTGTATTAAATATATGTTTAGATTATTCATACAATATGTATATGATTTTTATTTATATTTTAAAAATCAATAATTTTATTATTAATTATTACATTTGATACACACACAAAAAATTTTATATACATAATTTACAGTATATTTTAATAATAATAGTAATAATACAGTAATTATTACAGTATGCACCTGTATGTTTGGCTAGATTTTTTTAAGTCTACATAAAGTACACTATTGAACTAAACAGTTATTATATTTACTATTACTGTACAGTATATTTAAATACTGTATTTTAAATGCACTAAAAATGCACTCAAACTTTTATTTTGTTAAATTATTGATATACACTATATATCTAATATTATAATTAATTATTTTACTATAATAGACATAATTTTCATAAATTAAAAAAATAAGTAAATGTTTTCTATCAAATTATTTTACAGTTATATCATTTATATATGCAGAGTATAATACAATTAATAGTAATATTTTTATTTTATATGATTAAATGTATCACAAAATAATATGTTGTAGAAAAATATAACTACTGTATAATAAATTAAAAATTAAATATCTTAATATAATTATTTTAATAAAAATTTATATTATTATAAATTTCTACTAAAACTATTAATAAAATTATCATAAATATATTTTTATAATGATTATTAATAAATGAAATTATTAATAAAATTTTATTAGTATATTTCTATATTAATAATTTATTATTATTTACTAACTGCTATTATGTATTATACTACTGTATTAAATGCACTAAAAATGTACTCAATTTTTAAAAAATAATTTATAATTAATTTTTACTAATAATATTAGATAATTTGATATTTTAAAAAAGTAAATTTTGTATCAATTATTTCATAGTATAATACATTATAAATTAATATACTAGTACTTTACATACAATATTATAATACTAGAGTTATTTTACTAAAATTTTACAGATTTATAACTAAATATAATAGATAGATATATATATATATATACGAAAATTGTTTTAAATAATTAAAAACTATTATTTAAATTATCATAAACTTTTCAAACAATTTTAAAACATTTCGACAACTTTTATTTGAGTTAATATCCATTGAAAAATTATTGATTTTTCAAAATCATAATAATTATTGTTAATTAATAATAATAATAATAATAATAATAATAATAATAATAATAATAATAATACAGTATATTTTAATTTAGTTTTTTTTGTTGATAACACAATAATAAATATTTGGTATTTTTTTGGATCATTTTGGTTTCGCACAAAAAAAATAAAATCTAATAATTATAATTATTAAATATACAAATAAAACTTTTTTTTATATATATTTATATATTAATATATAATATCATTAATTATTACACAAAATATATATTTTTTAATATTATATTCATTGAATATAATAAATCAAAATTAATTAATTATAATAATAGGCGACAATATCCGATAATACAGTAGACAATAATTATCATAAATTAAATTATATAAGTAGTAGTCGTAGTAATAGTTGCTAATACTTTGAACAAAACTAAACTGTATGTAAATTAAATATCAATTATAATAATTATTATTATAAATAACTTTTTAATTATTTTATTTTATAAATCCAATGTTTTTTTTTTATTCAAATATGTTGGTAAAGGTATGTATGGCCACACAGTTACGGTAGTCTTGTGGTTAGTTTAACTGGTAGTAGTAGTCGCCTCCTGGGCTACGGGTGGCTGAACTGCTGGCTCCTGGAGTTTATTAACAGTCAAACAAAAAACAGTTACAATACTAATAATGATTGACTAATTAGTTTTTAAAATTGTGGCTAAACCTGTGGGGCATCGGTGGTGGCGACGGCGGCGGTGGCGTCAGCGGTAATGTTGACCTCCTGTTGCAAACTAGATCGCGGAGCCGGCTGTGGACCCGATGGTTGCGACGACGGTTCTTCAGCCGATATATTTGTTACTGTATTTAAAAAAACAAATAAATTATATACAAAACAAAACAAAAAACAATTTTAATCATTGATAAACTTTCCTTAAACAGTACTAATAAAAAATTATTTGCTAATAAAATGCTAATAATAATAAACCTAATTATTATTATTAGAAGTTATTTTTAAATTTTATTTTTTTCAAATAATTAAATTTGTAAAACTTATTGTATGCCAAAGATTTTTTTCCAAAAAAAAAATTATAATATATAGCTATACTCTATGTTAGTATTGTTTGATTGATTGATGGATGGATTGATTACCTGATTGTTGTTCAATAGTTGGTTGTGTTTCAGTGGTGGTTGCGGTAGTTTTAGCCGACTCTTCATTGTTTGGTAATTCGGTTGCTGTTTGTGTTTGTCCAACACTGGTCTGATCTGTTTCTGACTGTAAGGCCGGGGTTGCCGCCGCTGTCGGTTCCGCTGGTGCTACCGATTCAACAGCATCTACTGCTGGTACTTGTGGTGTCTCAACAGCTACTACTACTGGTGCTTGAGATGTTGGTTCCGGTACTGTTGTTGTTGTTGTTGCTGTTTCTGTCGGTAATTGTGTCGTCGGTAACTCTGCTTCAGGAACTTCTGGTGCGACCACTGTTTCCGGAGTAGTTTCTGTTGGTGTTGTTGACTCTGCAACAGCAGGTTCTGGTACTACGGCTACGGGAGTCGATTGTGGCTGAACTTCCGCTTCTGAAACTAGTTGTGGTGTAGTAGTAGTAGTAGTCTCCGGTTGTGAAGTAACCTCTGGTACCGATTCCGTTGTTTGTGCTACAGTTTCGACAGCAGTTATCGGTTCCGGTGCTGACTCTGTTGGCGGACTCTGGGAAGCAGTTTCCGCGGCGATAACGGGTTGTGCTATAGTTTCGGTTATAGGTTCGGGTTGAGATACAACCGCTGGCGCTGTTTCGGGTGTCGACTCTGCAATCACTTCTGCAGCTAATTCCGGTGGCGGCTGTGCTATCGATTCTATAGGTGTTTCTGCCGACGAAATTGGTTGGATCTCAGCCGCCGCTGTGGGCTCTTGTGTTGGTTCAACCACTGCTTGTACTGCAGATTCTGTTTGCTGTTGTTGTGGTTGTTGTTGTTCTACTACTGGATCAGTTGGAACTGTTGTTGTTTGATTAGTCTGTTCAGCGACAGCTTCTACTACGGCGGCAACTGTTGACGATTCTGGCAATTCTGGTGGCGATTGTTGTTGTTGTTGTGTTGTGTCGGCTAACGGTTCCGCTGTTGGCTGTTCTTGACTTTGTTGTTGTTGTGTCTCAACAACAACTGGTGTCTCTACTTGTGGTTTGGCTGGCGTTTCGTCAGTTTTTACCGAACTCTCGGCAGGAGTTTCGGCGGCGGCTGTCGGGACTGTCGTTGTTGTTGTTGTTTCTGGTGTTGTATTAGTCGACTCTTTAGTTGGTTCACCACTGGTTGTAATGTTATTACTATTGACATCATTTTTCACAACTTCTTCTTCTTGTTGCTGTTGTTGTCCACTATTTTCTATGTTATCTGAATTGTTAGCCTTTTATAGTTAGAAATACATATAAAAAAATTACATAATTATTAGAAAAAATATATTTAAAAAATTTAGTAATTTATAATATATTCTCTAATCTTAATTAAAAAAATTATACCATATTTAACATTAAAAAACGTTAATAACAATAATATATTTTAAAAATTTAATAATAATTTGTTGCTAATTAGTTTGATAGCAACTATTACGGTAAATACAGTTATAATAAATTGTTTAGTAATAAAAGTTTTTATATATATATAACACACAGTGTTTATAAAACAATCAACAAATTTAGTTAATAATTATAAATAACTTAAAATAACTGCTAATCTCTTGCGAGTGTTGTGTCGTCGTCTACGACCAGAAAACTTGTAAATAACTAATCATTTATTTAAAAGATTTTTTAGAAAAGAAAGTGTGAATAGAAATAACAAAAAACTTTTTTGTTTTTTGTGTTTTGCACTCAATTTTCTGATCTCTCTCTCTCTCTCTCTCTCTCTCTCTCTCTCTCTCTCTCTCTCTCTCTTTCATTAAAGAGATGAAATGCTATTCAAATAAAAAAAAATCATGATATGATTTGGCAACTAATTGGTGCTTAAAAATTAAATATCAAAAACACAACAACAAACAAGTCTTTTTCATTCAAAAATTTCATGTGACGGATGCTATTCATAGAAAATATTTAGTAAATAGAGAGAGTAATAGAGAGAGAGAGAGAGAGAGAGAGAGAGAGAGAGAGAGAGAGAGAGAGAGAGAGAGAGAGAGAGAGAGAGAGAGAGAGAGAGAGACAGAGAGAGAGAGAGCATATGTTGTCCTAAATATATACTTATTTCGGATACAAACACTTGACTTATTTATTAATTTATTTATAAGTGATTTCAATGTTGTGTACGTAAGAAATACACGCGTCATGTGTTTGGCCAACGATTTCATATCATATATATATAACTAAATGATTTTAATGGTGTGTTTTCAATGATAACACACACACACACATAAATATTTAGCATAAATTTGAGAACTAATAGTTTGGTTAACCGGAAAAATAGTTTTTTTTAATAAAAAAAATTAAAATAATAATAAAGTTCTTAAAAATGTTTGTTTTTTGGCTCCAGATATGAATTGCGTGTTTTATAAGAATATTACTTATACTTTTTGAAATTATTATATGAAACAAAACTTGATTTTTTTAAAAAAATAATAATTTCCAAACAGTGTCTCAAAATAAATATGTTTAACCAAACAAAACAACAAAAATAATAATAAAATAATATGTATTTAGTTTTTAAAACACACACATATATACAAACACATATACAAACACATATACAAACACATATACAAACACATATACACACACAACACATACATACACACACACACACACACACACACACAAAAACATACACATATACACAATGATATGCGTAAATAATTATTTTGAAAAAAATTAATTTAGATCAGATATTTAAGACAAATCTAATTAATTATTACATAGTTGTCGGCAGATATAATAATAATAATAATAGGCAGCGTCAACAAAATAATTGTTAAATTAAAAACATAGTGTTATTATCAGTTATATAATTATAATTGTTTACTATTTTTATATTTAGGATGCTTTGTATATACACCCCCACAGTTATGACAAATTTGTTGGCTTTATATACCGGTATATATATCAAGAAATAAATTAAGATTTATATATACAGTATATTGTATAATATTTGAAATATATACACTTTACTTATAAATAATATATATATATAATTTTCTAGTATATTAAATATTTTAATTTTTTAAAAATTATTTTAAACTACATAATTACTGTATACAAAGTTATATATATATATGTCTATTTATTTATATATAGATATATTTATTAACAAATTAGACAAATTAATTAGATAAACATAATTAATGATAAAATTTAATTTTTACGCAATATATAGACTAAATATTATTTTTTTTGGGTGGAGAATTACAGTAGTTATAAATAGCATCAAAATTATTATAACAGTATATATACCGTATATATTATCATTAATTATACTTATAATAGAGTAAAAAAATAATAATTAAGTTTTTTTTTATTAGTTAGTTTGTAATATATATATATATATATTAATAATAATTTTAACCAAACACTTACTGATACAACTAATCTATTATTATTATCATATGATTCTTCATGTATGACATCCTCTGTCTGTATATATGAGACAATAGATGAAGATTTTCTGTCATTTTTCTTAACCAAATCGTTGTCTGCAGTATTCAAATCGTATTTTGAATGATTTCGGCTACGAAACACTTTATTTCCCATTTTTTATATTTATTTTTTATAAAATAATTTAAATTAATTTTATTATTAACAAAAAAAACAACTGTTATATTATAACACAATTTTAGTATTATTATTAGTATTTAAACAGGAGTTTTAATAATAAATATATCGTTAACTTGTATTTAGTTTAACTATTATTATTATTACTTATTATTTATTTATTTATTATTATTGAATTAAATACAAATCATTTTTTTTAATTTTTTGATGACACAACTAAAATAATATTAAATAAAAAATTAATACTGTAATATAAATTGATGTATAAAAATTAAATTAATATTATTATATATGAAACTTTGATAATGATTAATCCCTATTATGTTTAAAATAAAAACAAACACATTATATGAATATTTTATATATCTAATATTTTTTTTTAAATAACTAATAATTTATATAATCTAATAATTTATTTTAACTAAAATAATTATATATTATATAGATTTTAGAAACACCTATTTTTATTTTATTTAAAAAATTGTTTCTACTAATTTTAGTAACATATAATTATTTAATAATAATAATACTATTAAATAATACTATGATATCTAATCTACAATTAAAATAAAATAATAAATGTAATAAAATTATGACTTAATACACACAGTCATTATAAATCATTATCTCATTGAATAATAATAATAATAATAATGTAAAAAACTATGTTGCTCATAAAATTTTACCTAGTCACAATATTAATTATTATTATTAAAGTTTAGTAAAATTTAATTTTCAAAAATAATTTGTGCATATAATCAATTGATAAACTTTGTTTTTTTTTTGATGATTATCACAAAAAATAATAATTGAAATAAACTGTAAATAATATTTTATGTTTTATTATTGAAAATTTAAATGAACTAATGTTTTATTAAAAAATATATGATGATTATTATATTAAATCAAATTTTTCATAATAAACAACTTTCATAATAATAAAATAATAATTAATTTAATAATTTCAACACTAATAGGAAAAAATATTTATATAAATGTTATGAAAATCCGTTTATAATTTTTTTTACGGAAACTACTGTCAGATAAGGCATTTTGGGTTCCGTTGTGTTGATAACAAAAAACATATATTAAAAAAATAATAAAAATAAAAATTGTTATACAATAAAAAAAATAATCATTAATTTGTTTTAATGATATCTATACAGTATATATAAACAATAGGACACTCCCTTATGTATTAGGAGTTGGGGGTAAGTCCCTTAAATAGTTTATATATATATAAATAAATTTATAAATTATATAGTTTATATAAAACAAAATTATGTAGTGTAATAATTAAACACAAAAATTAACACTAATAAAACTAATTAAAACTAAAAACTAGTAATTACATTTAGTAATAATAATAATAATAATAATACATGATGATAATATACTGTACAGCAACTATCAAGGTTACAATATTGATGCTAAAATAAATAACTACTGTATTATTTTAAAGTATAGTATGTAAGGCTATAAAATAGAAATTTAAAAATATATATATATATTATTTATAAATCTAATAATTATATTGTATTATATATATATGTAATAAATTACAGTATATATATATTTATAAATCAATTAAAAATTTATATAAATAATTTTTTTTGTTGTAAAAATTTTATTTATTAAATGTTTTTCATGATCACATACAACATGATGTACAGTACAATATATATATATATATATATTAATTAATTTGACATATTTGAAATATTTTGTTAGATAAAAACAGAGATAACAAAAAATTAGTATTAGTATAACTTATAAGATATTGCAATGAAATTATTAAATTTTTTTTATTATAAATAAATGTTAGGAAAACCTTGTTTTACTCATTCAATAAACACAATACTAAATGCTTACTGTACTTCAAAAATACATTATTAATAAACTAATATAAAACTGTATATGATTAAAATAGCATCAAGGTAATAATTTTTTTTATTTTTAAGCCTTTATTTATTATTATCATTATTGTTGTGATATTATTTGATAAATTTTATTATTTTTATTGTGATATGCTATTCATTTTTGTACAACAATTTGTAATTGAAATGACAATATAATAAATTTGAGATAAATATTTTAAACTTATTTTTATTAAATATCTAATTTATATATCTGAAAAAATCAAATAAACTTGTATTAAACGGAGATTATAATTTTAAACAAAACTATTTTAATACAATTTAGTAGATTTTTTTTAAATATATGAAATTAAAATTTTAAATAATAATTTATTTATAATTTATTTATAATTTATATTTAAAACATAAGTTATACTACTTATATCCTAAACTATCTGAAAAATCTGATATTTCTATTTATTATTAGTTTTTTAAAAAATATACATAAATTGATTTATTACACGTTTTTTAACAAAAAAAAATATTCAAATTTACTAATAAATAAACTTGTCACATTAATTAAAATATTTATATACTGTATATATATATATATATATATATATATATATATATATATATATATATATATATATATATATTATAAACTAATCTATTTATTAATAGATTCATTAATAATAAATAATTTCAAATTAAAATAAAAACAAATTTAGAATTTAATTAGTTTTTAAAGTATTGTTTTTTAAAACAAAATATTGGTTTTTTTTATTAAAATATATAAATTGAATTGATATATAGTTATCTATGTTGTGACAGTGATAAATTAATTAAAAATATTTATAAAAAAATTATATTAAATAACAATATCTTTTATGGGAACTCATTTAAAATTATATTGATAGTGTTGGAACAGTATTAAAAAATAACAAAAAAAATATTGATTATAATATTTCAATTAATGATAAATTTTATAACTTTAGTTTTAGCGTAAATTATACTTATTTTTTTAATAAAAATTAAATAACCAAATATTTTTATAAATATTTTATTAGTTATTTAACAATCAATGCCAATCAATAATAATAATAATTTGATAAATCTTGAATTGTAATATAAAATAATACCAAATTTTATTCAATTTATTATTTTTTGTTTCCTAAGTTATAAATACTTTTATAAAAGATGCAATTTTAAAAAAATATATAAACAATAATAATATATTATATTATTTTTGCTAATTTACTGTTTTTCAACATATCATAATATACTTAATATATTTAACAAATTTCTTTAATACTGTTTTAAATAAAAAAAAATCTCATATATATATACATTTTTTTTGTTATTATAGTTATATATAATCTTTTTAAATGTAATTTTTAGTACAAAAATCTTTATAAATGTTTATATATATATATATATAATGTAATTAAGATTTTATTCTTATTGGCGTTTGTTTTAAAAACATAAATTAAATTAATTTAAATAAATATTTAAATTTTGTGCATTATATATATATATAATATATATAAATATAAATTTATATATAAAGTCACAAAAACTTGGCTTAAAGTTTATCTGATTTTTTATGCGGTTGTCTATGTATTACTACTACTACTACTACTACTACTACTACTACTTTACATTATTATTATTTCACAGATCTTTATATAACAAAACAAAAATTATATTGATATATAAAATTTATTTTTTAATGCTATTATCAATTAATCAATTTGTTACTACATTTTGTTGTTGTTGTTGTTATTATTATAAAAATTATTAAGAGATTTTAAAATAATATAAGATTAATGAGATTATTATAACTATAATAAAATAAATTATAGATAGTTATAAATAAAAAATTTTGAAATTTAATTAAATAAATTAAATTAAATATATTGTAGCCATAGATGATTGTTGTTTCTGTATATATATTCAATTATCTTTTTTTGTCAACTGAGAAAACCCCAAATTTTGGTGCTGATTCAATTGTGCTTGTTACTATTAGTTTTATAATGAATTTAATTATATATATATATACACTATATATATATATACTATTAATTTTAAACTTAATAGTAAAAATAGTAAAATATTAAATTATATATACTTATATATATATATATAAATTTATACATTTCTAAAAATTAATTAATTTTTTTTAAATTATAAAAACATTAAATTCTTGAAGTGATTGGAGAAAATACTTAATAGTTAATTATTTATTATAATAGTATTATAAGTATATTATTATTATTATTATTATAAATATTCAATTTGTTAAATATATAATAGCACTTAAAAACTTTTTTTTTAAACTTTTTAGTTATTTGAATAGTTTAAAAAAATACAAACTTTATCGGGATTCCCAAATGTTTCATAAATTTACAATTGTTTCCACTGGAATAGTTGTAAATCAATTGTCTATTTTGATGAACACATTTGATATTATGATATATTAAAGTATTAGATCCACTTATTATATAAACATTAGATAATCAATAGTATCAATAATTTAGTATTAATGTTAAAATTTTAATATAAAAAAATAATAACAAATATCATTTTTATTTATTTATTTTTTGTTTCCAAATTTGTAAATACTTTTTTTAAATGCAATTTTTACTTTTATATAAACAATAATATAATAATATTTAATAATTATTTTTTTTATTATAAATATTAACTGTTTTTTCAACATAATATACTTTATATATTTAACATATTTTTTTAAATACTGTTTGGAAATAAAAATTTTCTCAATTTTATATACAATATGTTTGAATTGTTTTTTATATATATAATCTTTTTTTTTGAATATAATTTTTAGTACAAAAATGTTTTTTATATATAATAATGTAATTATGTTTTTAGTTTTTTTGGCGTTTGTTTTTTTAAGAAACATAAATTAAATTAATTAAAATAAATAATAAAATATATGTCGTTTATATACAGTATATATATAAACTTATTAAAAAAAATTGGCTATAAGTTTGTCTGATTTTTTTGTTGGTTGTCTACCGTATTAATAATAAATACATTGTAAGTACAGTATATATATACCGTATGACTCCTATAATTAATTGTCATAATTTATTTCACATCCCAACCAACCAACAAAAAAAATAAACGGTTCTTAGGATCAGCTTTTCGGTGATAATTAACTAATTGATTGATTGATGGATTATATCCATTCGTTTTTATTATTTTTTTTCACTATAATAGTCGATCCTTCGGTAGTAGTATCGGACGATTCGCGATTATAGTCGGTATTATCGAAAGTATTTGATTGGCTTTCCGATAGATTGTCAAACTTGCGGGCAAACATCGATCGGCGAACATTGGCGTCCATCGACAACATAGTATCGACTACACTGGTTGACCGTAAAATACCGACACCAACACCAGTATCGCTGCCGCCGCCGCCGCCAGCAATCCCACCAACACCCGCACGGCTGCCAGCATTGCCAACAGTTAGTCCAATACCACCGCAGACACTGCCGCTGCCAATAGTATCGCTATTCATCGACTCTTGACTCCTGGAGAATGGCATCACTTTATTTCTGGTCGCTTCGATCAATTGTCGCCACCGATTGTTGTTACCGCCGCGACGTTTATTGGCCAAACCCCGGGCTAGTCGTACGAATCGATTGCGCGACGAAGTGGACGACGACTTGAGTTTGGCCGGCGATCGCGGTGACGGTGCCGGCGTATAGTCGTAGTCGTCGTCAAAACTGGTTACCCGATCGCGCATCAGAAAGTCAAAGTTAAAACCTTTCATTAGTCGCCGTTCCCGCTGTCGACCTCTTTTGCCGACTGACTGTGAAGTGCCGTCTTTGCCTACAATATAAAAAAATTGTTATACCATTGATGACAATCGCCGTCAGCGGTCAAACACCTTATTAAAAACCTATACATACCTTTAGTTCCCAACATTTCCAACAATTCATATCTAAGAGCACTGATGTCTTGTTTGATTTCATTGCAATCATCTTCGGTAACACCTCTTTGTCTCTCTTGAATACGCTGTTCGCTAGTTATATACCTCTTGACCAGCGATCGCATAACCGACTGATATCTATGATCTCGTTCGCTGGCCTTTCGTTGTTTTCGCTGTAATATTTCAATCAAATCATATAAAACAAAACAAAACAAAAAAAAATTAATAATTAATAAAATAAATTGATTTTTTTTATTGCCAACCCTAATGGTTCTCATTGCCTCATTCTTAGCTTTTCGGGTACGACCGCAAAACTTATGGAACAACCATTTGAATAGATAGATCACCGATTTGGGTGACGGTATGACATTGAACGGCGGCGGTACTGTCTCGCCATCATTAAAATAGCTCATCCAGAGCTTACTTCGGGCAAACTTCCACTCTTTGTCTGCCTGTTCCTAATGGATCCCAAACCAAACAAACATATTTGAAGATATTTGTCAAATTAGTTTTTACAACAATTACAACCAGTAATTATTACAATATTAAACAATTGAAAATTAATAAAAAAAACTAAATAATTTACTAACACTTATCATTTGATATGAATGATTCATCATTGCTATCAATAAGTTTAACAAAACTATAACATTGATAACACTGTAGGAGCCAAACATTAATAGACCCCAAAATCGTGTATAAGTTTGAATGCCTAAGTTTTGAAATTAATTTTGATTATTGATTAATATTAGTATTTAGTATAATATATAGTAAGAAAATATAACATATTGTATAACAACAACAAAAATAAAATTTAAAAAAAAGTTTTATTACAATTATTATAATCGACAATAAATTAATTAATAAATATTAGTTAAGGTTACCTGTAAGCTCAAAACTTTCCAGATCAATTAAACCAAAACTGGCCCAAAATAATGTTTGCGACGACTCAAATAAGCTAGATACATTTATTTATTTTTAAAAATATGTAACGATAAAATTAATTAATTAATTAAAAACATAAATTTTAAAAAAACTATTAATTAATGATATATTTAAAATTATTTATTCTTAATAAACAATTACTTAGCAAATCGTCTCCATGTAAAGCAAGCGTCGGGACGGGACATCTCTGTATGATTTTTGGCACCGGGTTTTGCACCCGATTGTTGAACATAACATACCTGTTTCTCCATATCGGCGTAATACCTGTGCCCGAGAGTGGGCGGGTGGGAGGTGGAGGAGGAGGAGGGAGTTTAATAATATTTTTAATTTTCAATTATAAAACAATAATAATAATAATTACCAAAGAAGTTGATTCATTCCGCAGGCAAACGAAAACAATACCAACGTATAGACACATAAAAACTTGAGTATATCGATGACCATACGGCCCAAACTTATCTGCAATGGACCCAAATGAGGGTTTACCGAAAAAATGTAGACCAACTTCAGCGAACTGAATATGTTGGCCGCGGCAAACAAGCCCTCGGATAATAGGATCGGATCAAATGCGTCCCAATATTCGCGGGGCAGTGAAGCGGTTCCCGTTTTCAATGATATCTCTTTTTGAATCTTTTTTTTAAAAAAAAATGATTTATTAAAAACAATTAAATTATTTAATTATCAAGTTTTTTAAGTTAACAAAAAATATATAACATATAATCAGTTTTTAGATATAACATTACATACTTGTAAATAAGCGATAACTCTCAATGCAATTGTTGCTACATAACTATAGTTGTTTACAAACAAAAAATGGAAATATTTGAAAAATTTTAATACAATTATTTTTTTTTAAATATTTATAAATAAATAAATAATATATATATATATAAACATACAGTGAATTTGTTATAAAATCCAGAATATTCCACATATCACTTAAATAATCGGCAATTCCTAAGTCCCACAATTGTTTTACTTCACTCCATATTAAACCTGTTTTTTTTATATATTAGTTAAAAAATATATTAAATATTTTTTGTTGTTGTTGTAAACATTAGTAAATTAAATAATTATTTTTTTTCATAATAATAATAATAATTAAATATAGTACCTAGCACCCATGCTAATATGCATAGCTCTATTGGTGAGGGAGGCGCCCCTCTGTTTTTGGAAAAAAATAATAAAATAAAATACATGTAAATATTTTTATGTTTAAAATTTTGTTTTTTTAATATAATTAAATCTGTTTTTAACCGTTTCGTTGTATTAGCCAATTCATTATGAAATAAATCGCCAAAAATATCAGTTTCAATTCGTTGTGACGCCAATATCAACAATACTAATAACCAAACAAACAAAATAATAATAATTAATTGCAAACTAATTAATAGTAGTTAAACATTTACAAAAAAATTTACAAAAAAAAATATCTAAACATTTCCAAATACATACATAAAAATGTTATATAACTGGCCGAATGGCATATGAATTTGATAAATGGTTTTTTGATGAACTGGCCTAATGTCGAGTGCGGGGCCAGTATGTAGGCAATGGACAACAGCGGAAATACTGTACCGATAACTACCAACTGTAGGGTCTGGACAATGATGTTTTTGCGGCGAAATCCTGGCAGACCCTCGTACCAGATTGAGGCCAACAATTGTTGAACGTTGGCGTGTGCGCAAAACTATAGTTAATATATATGGGATATACATGTATTAATATTATATATATACAAACAAACAAAAAGTTATATAATATTATTATACATATACATACACACACACACACACACACACACACACACACACACACACACACACACACACACACACACACAACACACACACACACACACACACACACACACACACACACACACACACACACACACACACACACACACACACACACATAAACATATAGATACACCAAAAATTGTTTGTATGTGTGTGGTGTGTCATACTAGCAATTATAAATATTGTAAATTGCAAATTAGTTATGTGTGTGTGTGTGTGTGTGTGTGTGTGTGTGTGTGTATGTTTTAAATTTACATAAAAATTTTTTCGTGTTTAATGTAAATATTTATAACAAAAAAAAACCCACAGTCTTATGGATAAAAGTACTGTATATATACAGTACACTGTATTATACAGTAATGTAACTTATAGTTTAGATTTGTTTGAAATATAAATATAAATAAATTATACAATATATACTGTATAAGCATTATATCAATAAATTATATTTCTTATTAAATATATATTTTCAATGAGACTCTCACTTATAATAAGTCACATTTCTTTTGAAACAATTTTTTTTCAAAAAAAAAAATATATTACATTTGAAATATAATAATTATGTTTATATATATACAGTATATTAAGTATCAGATAAAAATTTTTGGTATAATTTATATTTTTCAAAATAAAAAAAATTATTTAATTTAATTACCAATTTTTGTTTAACACGTATCGCCAGCTTTAGTCGCGCCAATTGCATCCGTCCGTGTGTTTCTATGGGTTATATTATATACAAACATATCATTAAAAAATTAATACAAAAAAAATATATAAATATAAATAAAATAAAATAAATAAATTGTTGTATACTGTATATACACTTTACATACAGTATCATTAGTAAAATCATTAATAATTATCGTTAACACCAAAAATTAGTAGTAATAATAATAATAATAAACAAATTAAAAGACACACACATAGACATAGACAGACATAAAAAAATTTAATTATCAGTTCAATTACCTAATGGATCTCCCAGTGGATCATAATTTAATAAAACCTATTGTGTTTTGGGTGGGGAGGAAGGGATTAGTAGCAAAAAACAACAATAAAATAATTAATGAAAAATAAATGATTATATATATATACAGTATATCATCATGTGTTGTATAGTTTTTTATATATATTTGTGTTAATGTCTATTAAAGATCAATAATGATTGCACACTAATGTGACAAATAGGTTGGTTTTATAAACAAAAAATAAAACCTGACCTCCAATTCCTCGGTGGTTCGGGTGTGGTCTAGCAGTGCGGTAGCAAACGATTGACACTGTCGTCGAAGATCCTGATATTCTGATTTGAATTCTGGCTCCAGAAACGACAGTCGCCTTAATTGCCAACTGAGCTCAAAGGCCGTCAAAATCGGATCTTTTGATGACAACTGATTAGGAAATAAAATCATTATATAATTAGAAATTTTTCTCTTTTTTCAAAAAAATGTTTGAATTTTTTTTAGTTAAATTTAATAATTATGTTAAAAATTAGAAAAAAATTTCGTATATATATATTTGTTTTCTAATGATATTATTATTATTATAAATACCGCTATCAATGATGGAGAGCACAGGGCTTTGTAGGCATTGATCCGGGATCTTGAGTGCCGTAAACAGTCTATTGTATAACAATATATTTAATAATAGTATATTATATCATTATGATTTTACCTAGTTAATTTAGTAAATTAAATTTTTTTAAAAACAAACTGATCCCTAACAACACTAACCTTCCTTATTGGCTAATCGACACTCTTTACAACCACATCGGGCATCGTGTGGGGCCGGCATCTAATATAAAAACCACACAAACATAGATAGATAGGAGGATAGGAGATATACACACACAAAAAATTATCACCCCGGTCAACAACAATAACAAATAAAATTTAAACATAATTACAATAACCCCCGCACCCCTACCGGTGAAGTTCCTCTATCTAATACAATCTTAATTATTTCGTAATTGTTTCGATGGGCGGCCAAAACCAATGGCGTTATGTCCGACGTAAAGGTTTCCCGTTCTATGGCTTCCCAGGACTTCAAGGAAGTCAAACCCAAACAATACATGAAATTAGATTCAAGAAAAATAAATCAACCATTAATTTCAGGTAAAAAACAAATAAAACTGATAATCAATAGGTATTATATGTTATTTTTTGACCCATACATGTGGCTGTCCGGGCACGTGATACTGGTCTTCATTGTCGAGCAGCAGTTCCACGGCTTCGACAAACTCTTCGTTGATGGCGTGAAGCAATGCATCTTTCATTTCGACACCGGAGCCCAACAGCAGTTCACACATCTCGAGGTTTTCGTTATCAATGGCCATCAGTAGACCACTTCGGCCGAGCGGATCGCAACAGTTGATGTTCAGCTCCTCCCGTGGCGTCTCATTCAGTGATCTATTTGGATGAGAATTGATTATTATTGGATGACAATCAAAGATACAAGTGCTCAAAGATCCAAATGGGGATCAATACCTGCGGACAGCTGGCAGATCACCTCTTTCGACGGCCAACAGGAATCGCTTCTCCAGCAATGTTAACGGTTTGTATTGCGGTGGCGGCACTTGGTTCGGGTTATTGGTGGTGTTGGTGTTGCTATTATTTGCCGATTGATAGTTCAATTTAATGCTATCGTAGTTCATAGTATCGGAACCGCCGCCGCCGATGTCCAACTCCTCATTAAGATCTTCGTTGACAATTGTCTTCGTCATCGTTGATAATGACAATAATTATATATATATATATATATAATAATAAATTTGGCGCACAATTATATTTTGGCACACATTTGTTATCAATATTATATATATATATATTTTTTTACATTTAATATTTAATCAATTTGATTTCGAAAATTACATGTTGGTCACAAAAAAATATAATTTATTAATTATTTTTCTAAAAAAAAACTTTGATTATCCAATTTCTGATATAACTGTGAACACAACAACAATAACAACAAAAAAATAGCACAAAATTATTATTATTTTGAAATTTTTATTTCAAATAATGTTTTTGACGTTTGTGTGTGTGTGTGTGGATGTATAGACACATAATCGCACTCTCATAACATATAGAAATAAGACTCTCTCTCTCTCTCTCTCTCTCTCTATCTCTCTCTCTGTTAATCATAATAATAATAACTGAGTAGTTGTCTGTCTTCACGCTCAGGGATCTCAATCCCAATCAAACCTCTTTCTCTCTCTGTCTCTCTCTCTCACACATCACATCATCCCATCTATTTGGTTGCCATAGAAACGCATCATCATTGATTTCCACCCAATACTTTGACATACATATACACTATATATATATATATATATATTGTAGAGTATTGTACAGTAGTTTGAAATCTATTATTTTTATCGATAATAATTATTTATATACATAGATATTAAATATCATTATTTGTCTTTTTTAGAAGTTTATTATATAATATAATATTTTCTCTTTTGTCATCCAATAACTTCAATCAATTGATTCAAATATTGCACAATATTTTTTTGCGCAATAATTAAGTAAATATACTGTATATATAAATACAGTAGTTTTATGACCCTTAAAAAAACCGGGGAGTCTATCGTTAAAAATATCCATTCATTACTTAAATACAAATAATAAATTGATTGAAGAGAGAGAGAGAGAGAGAGAGAGAGAGAGAGAGAGAGAGAGAGAGAGAGAGACGAAAAAACTTGAAAACATTTTTTTGTAATCAATTTAACGATTGAAATGAAAAACTAAATGTATATACAATATATATATCATACGATGATATCTAACTTGAAATTTGTATTTTTATGTTAACGTTATATACAATATATATTTTGTTAAGTTTATTATATATATATATATATATATATATATATATATATATATATATATATATATATATATATATATATATATTTCCAATATTTTTTCCAATAACGACAAAAATAAAAGATTACAGGATATTATTTTAAATAAATTTTCAATAATATAATAAAAATTTATTTTTGTTATTTTTGTTTGTAATATAATATTATATTTATAATATTGTTTTATTCAATGCATAGAGTATAGAAATTTCTATAAATTTTATTAAATTTTTTAAAAATAAAAACAATTTATTTATATAATAATAATAATAATAATACTATATTTATGACCTGGATTCTAATTATTTACCAAAAAAAAGTTTAAATCAATTTATTTTTACAGGAAAAATATATTTATATATATCTAAAACATAAAATAAATAAATAATTTTTAATATGCTAAATGTAATAATTTAAATGTGTTTGACATTTATTAAAAATTTATTATTATTTTCTAATATTTAAAAAAATACAGTACTTTACTTATCATAAAAATAGCTAATCTCTAAATCATCAAAACTTTTAGCGAAACACACACACAAAATAAAAACAAAATTATAAATGTTTAGACAAACAAAATGCATACCTAAGCTATTAACTAATAATAATAATAATAAGTATTTAAAAAGTTTTATTTTAAATTTCAATAATTTTATATTTACTTTTTGTTACAACAATTAAGTTATATATCATAAATATATATATGTTTTCCCAACACAACATTACTACATATAACTACTATACTATGGTATATAATTTATATATTTAATATAATATAAACGGTTATATCAATACATAACAATAATATTAATAATACTGTGTATATATAAACACTTTGAAAAATCTTAAAAACTTTTCTATACTTTATATACAGTATGTATGATATTATGTATTCAATGCATGCATACATTGCATACATAGTATTACATACGGGTGTAGAGAAAGAAAGAAAGAGAGAAAGAAAGAGAGTGAGAGAGAGAGAGAGAGAGAGAGAGAGAGAGAGAGAGCTATACTATACAACTGTATTGAATGTCTTAACCCAAACACAGTGTGTATAGCAATGTATTGTGTATTTTGAATGTCTTTATGTTTGCTGTATATGTTGTGTTCATTGAGTTTGCGTTTCAATTGAATATACATTTGAATCACTCATACATTCATTCATTGAAATTTCAAAATCATTGCTTTGTTTTGGTTTTTGTTGTGTTTTTGTTTTGTTTGACTCTTCAGTAGACTCTCTCTCTCTCTCTCACTCTTCGCTCTTATTGTTTGTGGTTATTGTCTTCGCTGTGATAGTTGTAGTAGTAGTCGGTGTTATTGTTGTTGTTGTTGTGATGGCAAACAACATGTGCTTCACTATTATTATTATTACCACAACAACAACTACTACTACTGTTTGCTGACACAGACATCTGATCCACTAATCAGTCGATTACTATCATTACATCGACGACAAGGACGAAGACCACTGTGACTGAAGAAGATATATCACTCACACACACACACACACACASACATATGTCCGCACAGTTCTCGCCAATAATGTCTTCGTCATCATCTGCATCGGCGGCCGCGGCGGCGGCTAAACGCAAACGACCCCATCCTCTTGTATTGAACTCTGTTAGCGGTTCTTATGAGGACAAGAGCAACGACTTTTTGTGGTAAGTGTTGGATCATCATCATCATCACCAGCCGAAACAAATGATACAATTTGATGGTCACAAATATCTGATATTAATGTCTATTGTCTTTGTTTAGTCCGCTGTGCTTTGAGATCATCGAAGAGGCCAATGTCACCAAATGTGGCCATACTTTCTGGTATATATAGAGATTATTATTGTCATCAAATCAAACCACTAATTGATTATCTCTCTCTCTCTCTATTGTGTCCAATAGTTTTAAATGTATCCAAATGTCTTTAGAGCGGAGCAACAGATGTCCAAAATGTAATTTCATTGTCGAACAGGTGTTTCCCAACTTCTTGTGTAAGTTTTTTGTTGTTGTAATGTCTTGTAATCATTATTATTGGATCAAATTGTTAATTAATTAAACAATTTTTTTAGTAAATGAATTGATTACAAAACACCATAAACTGTTGCTCCAGAGGAAGATCGATGCGGGAAAAAACGTCAGTTTATAAAAAAAAACTTATTTTATATATCTATCAATTGATTTGTTGGACACAATTTCTGATCAATAATTATCTATTATTATTATTATTATTCTTCTAATGTGACAGAATCCTCGAGAGATGCATGAATTACAGGAACTGCTTCTCCATAAATCGGATCAATTGGATTTGTCTGATGTAAACCTATTGCTCGATTCATTAGCTCAACGAAAGTTACTCTTAGAGGCCGTAAGTTTGTTTGTTTTTTGGCGCCATTTTGGTTTTGTTGTCAATATTATTATTACCTGAAGAAGTATTTATCAATTTTTTGTTTGTTTATCTAATTTGTTTAAATATAGAGTAATAAAGCCATCGAAATAGATCTACTAAAAGAATTTCTAGTACAAGTACGCAACCATAAACAGGAACAATTGGATCAATTGACAAGAGAGATGAGTCTTATTGATGAAGATTGTCGACGAATTGATGAAATGATTGCCAACGAAGCGCAAAACAAGTTGACCGTCAATAACAACAACAACAATATTAATAACAAATGCGGTGATAGTAATAGTGATAATCAGTGTAACTCAATAAACCACAACAACAACGCCGCCAATGACACCGATAATGCCGACTCGAGTTCGCTAATCGATCGGGACGTGTGGCCATCGCCCGAACCGTGCAGCAGCAGCAGTGCTACAGCATCATTTCCGAGCAGCGGTGAAGGACTACTGGACAACAATATCAGTACCGGTTCGGCGGCAGCAGTCGCTACCAGTTCGGTGGCAGCGTCGTCTTCGTCGGCGGCAGCGTTCAACAAGAATACTCTGACCACAAACTATGTCAAACAACCATTGCTGGTGTCCTCACTCGGTAGTCGGCGAAAGAAAATGCATTTTCATTTCGACGACTTAGAGGAATGCTATTTTACAACACGTGCCAAATCTTTAATGCTCTCGTCATCCACAGATGACACGTCCATCGACGGTCTGAATGAATTTAGCGATACGCTCAACAAGTTTACATCGTTTTCATCCCTACGACCGCTGGCCACTCTATGCTACGCTAGCGATATGTTTACTTCATCATCGATAGTATCGTCCATTGAATTTGATAAAGACAGCGAATATTTTGCCATCGCTGGTGTTACGAAAAAAATCAAAGTCTTCGAGTACGCCACTGTTGTCAAAGACACACTGGACATACACTATCCGATCAATGAGATGGAGTGTACGTCGAAGATCAGTTGTGTTAGTTGGAGTTCCTATTACAAGGCTATTATGGCCAGCAGTGACTACGAAGGAACCGTTACCATTTGGGATGCCTATACCGGTCAGAAAATGCGTACATTTCAGGAACATGAGAAACGATGCTGGAGTGTTGACTTTAATAAAGTCGATACGAAGATGGTTGCTTCGGGATCAGATGATGCCAAAGTCAAACTATGGGCTACTAATATGGAAAATTCGGTTACAACTCTCGAAGCCAAAGCCAATGTATGTTCAGTTAAGTTTAATCCGTGCAGTCGTTATCATCTGGCGTTCGGTTCGGCCGATCATTGTGTACACTATTATGACATCCGAAATACAAAGAATCCGCTGATGGTATTCAAAGGTCACAAGAAAGCCGTAAGTTATGTGAAATTTTTGAATAAAGAAGAAATCGTGTCCGCGTCGACTGATTCCCAATTGAAACTCTGGAGTACGTCGAAGACACCGACTGTCCGATCGTTTAAAGGTCATATTAATGAGAAAAATTTTGTCGGCTTAGCCACCGATGGCGACTTTATTGCCTGCGGTTCCGAAAATAATGCACTGTTTGTCTACTATAAGGGTTTAAGTAAACAAGTGCTGACTTTCTGGTTTGATTCGGTCCGTGTTTTTGTAAGTTTTTTTGTTTTAAATCAGATAATAATAATATTAATAATAATAATAAGAAAATCTATATATTTTGTATTATTTGATGACTTTTTTGGTGGTGTTGTTGTCCAATGATTTTTTTATGATTGAAAATCTCAAATATTGTTTAGTAAAATATATAGGAATTAGAGATTTACTGTTTAGAGTTTAGTTTCTTAATTTAGGTTTTAGTTTAGTTATTATAGTATTATTACTCTATTATTATTATTATTGTTGCGATAAATACAAAGTTATTTTCTATTTCTATTAGTATTTATACATAATATTCACACAATTGATGGGTTTTAATAGTTTTTTTTCTGTCTGTATACGAAATAAGTTATATACAAATTGTTTAATACAATATATTGTATCCGATATTGATATCTGTTTTATTTTGGTTTGTTTGGTAACCAAAAATCTAAAAGATAACACTTATATATATTGATATATAAATTTCTAATGATATTTGTAACCGAAAAGAAAATATCTATTATATTATTATTAAGATTATTATTATTGTGTTATTGATTCACACAATATTAGCTATCATTATATTTTAGTATATTATGAGAGATAGAGAAAATAAATAGTACACAAAATATTATTATTATTATTATTAGTTATATATTGTATTATAAGAAAAGAAAAACCGATTTTAACGGGAAATATACTAACAAAACATAATTTTATTGATATTTTGTAGGACAAGGATAAGAGAGAGGACGACACCAGTGATTTTGTCTCAGCCGTGTGCTGGCGCTCCGGCAGCAACTGTGTAGTGGCCGCCAATAGTCAGGGAACCATAAAGGTTTGTATATTAAGCACACCATACATAACAAACCAGAACCAGAGCACACATATACACTTGTCCTCCCTTTCCCCACTAACTTTATATCCATCAGATCAATAAATCTCTATATATAAAACTATTATACTATACCCATACCGTATGGCATAACACATACACTGTACTCTATATGTGTGTTTGTATGTATGTATGTGTTATGGATGGAGTGGTGATGCGCTCACACATACATACTCTACTAGCTCTCTGAACATAGAGTTCCCCACATATTTAATGGCAGACCGTTTTTTCCCAATGTATATACTCTATGTGTGTATATATATATAAATTATGGATAAATATTAATATATGTATTATATACAGCCCAATATATACTCTATGTGTGTATATATATATAAATTGTGGAAAGGCCTACAATATATACATATATATATATAGCAGTTTGAGATGCATTTAATCAAATTCTCGCTATACTATGGTTTCCATACTCTCACTCTCTGTATATAACAATATCAATACAATACAACACAACATACAAACATATATATATATATATATCTATATATTTATGAGTTAAACATATTTTAGTGTCTTGTTTTGTATATATATATCTCTCCTAAATTGTAGATCCTGGAGCTCGTATGACTATATATACTGTATATATATAGACCATTGACTGACTGGCCAATCATTTATTTAAAACAACAATTTTTTTAGTGCCGTAACCACACACACAAAAATTGGGTATCATTTTATTAACATTCATTAAATTCACCGAAAATAAAATAATATTATTAATTATATAATCAATTGTATATATGTATGATTTTTCTTGAATAATAATAATAATAATAATAAATTTATTTGTTAATTATTTTATATTTGAAAACATAAATATGATTAAAACATTTTTTAATATTTATTATATTATGTTTAATAATAATAATATTATTAATAATAATTGTAATAATAATGATGATAATAATATGTAATTTGGATAAAAAAATGTGTGATTAATTTTGCGGTGCATTAACATTGTCTTTCATGTATATAATATATATATATATTTATTTATATATATATATATGATGTATACACTGTATAATGTTTAATGGTTATCATTGAACCTGTGTTTATGTAATATATATATAAGTAAAAAAACACATTTAATTTTATGAAATTGATTTATAATTTATATACATATATGTAAAAAATATAATATAATAATATATAAATATATACTTTTGTAAAATTTATTATTATTATTAGCACCTTAGTACTTAATGAATTTAATTAATAATAATAATAATAATGACCAATGCAATTATTTGACTACTATTTACTACTACTATTAATAATAAATTGATTTTAAATATTATTAATTTATTTAATTTTAAAAAAAAATTAGTTCATACTTATTTAGTGTTATTATTATAATAATAATAATTGATAATCGAGTCTATGGTTATACTTAACACCCGAGTATTTTGGCCGCAAATATTTTTGTGACACCATTTAGTGTTAGAGAAGGACATCATCATCAACAACACCGACAATAACAACCAAAGTGAAGACCAAAGAGATTTCGTGGCAATCATTGGATTACGAAGGAGTAGGAGAAGAAGGATTAGGAGGAGGAGTAGGAAGAAGAGACAGAAGAGTACGAAGACGTGGAAGCGATTCGCAGAGAGTTTTGATGCAAAAGAGCAGAATATCGGCAGTAAATCGTTTGGACAACTGCTATGACTCTCGTGGTTCGCTTACCGACGACATTGCCGCACATCATCATCACCTACAACAACAACAACAACAACAATATCTTCATCATCAGCAGCAGCAGCAACAACAACAACACCATCAGCATCAACAACAACATCAGCAGACATTCCTTCATCAGCAGCATAGGTCAAGAATGGCTGTGATGTCTGAAGTGGAGGAACAGGAGAGAAAAATTGTCAACGAGTTCTGTCATTTTCTCGAAAAGTCCAAACAATTGTTCAATGGGCTCAGGTATGCTCAGAATACCCGTACCCCGTGATTGTATTTTTTCGATATGTGTTTGTGTTTGATATGGTTTTTTTTGATGGACGAGTTTATTGAATGTATTTTTTGTTTGTTTGTTGGGATCAATTTATTTTTCTTAGAGATTTACCACAATATGGACACAAACAATGGCAGCCGTATTTTGGCCGCACTTTCGATATCTATACTAAACTATGGAAGTTTCAACAGCAGCACAGGTAGATAATAAAAATTGTTGTTAAACCTTAAAACTGTACCACCAAATTAAGCATCATTATCTACTTATAGTTATTTTTTAATTGAATATTGGTTTAAATTAATTTTTTTAAATATGCAATTTAAAATGAAATTTTACAACAATTTTTTTGTTTACTTATTATAGGAATTTATTTATTTTTTTGAAAAAATAATAAAAATAGGATTTAATTTAAAAACTAATTAATTGTTTAGCAAATAGATGTTAATTTTTAATTAATTTTTTTCTGACCATTTTGTAGTATAATTGTTTCGATTCTTATCTGATTTATGCTAAAAATTTTCAAATTAAAATTATTATTATTATTATCTATTTTATTTTTAATGATTATTATTAATAATAATTATAAATTAGTTGCCAGTTATTATTATTTAGTTAACATGTGTGATATAAAAATTTACTGTATATTTATCGATATGTTTGCCAAAACATTATATTAGTCTAATAATAATAATAATAATACTGTATTTACTGTAGTAAGTGATAATGAAAATTGAATTACATGAGTATTAAAATAAAAAGTTTAATTACTACTACTTTATTGCTCTAAAACTGTTATAAATAGGTTTTATATACTGTATATATACTGTATATTACAGTTAGATATTATATACATTACTTACCGCTATTTGTAATTTAATTGTTTATATGCTATAATTTTATTTGTTTTTTTTTGTTTTTGTATTATATAGTTAATGTTTAATCAAAATTACCCTTAGTAGGAAATTTCATCTAATTTATTTTGTTTTATTTTTTTTTGTTGATAAAACTAAAAATAATATTTTATTTTTTTCCTATGTTTATGATTGAAAAATTAAAATTTAACTTTTTTGTTGTCTATTTAAACGCATAATTCAAGCTTTATTTTATATTTTTTTTAATGTATAGAAATGTTTAATAAAAAATTAGCTTAATTTTTATGAATATTGATTGTAAATATTTTTTCTAAAATAAATAATTTAATTCATTTATCATTTTAAGGTTAGAATTTTAATAATTATTATTTTTTATTATTGCATAACAATGTTTAATTACAGTAAGCATTTAGTATGTTAAATTAATAATTTGCCTGGATATTTATTAATTGATAACATTTAATATTTATGATAATTATTTTAACTGAATCATAATTATATAGCTTAAAAAAATAGTGAAAAACTAATTAATTAAAGTTTAATACTAATTAATATAAATGTTTAAAAAACCTTTTTTAAATAATAATAGTAATTTATTTAACATATAGTAGTAGTAGTAGTGCTAAAACTTTTCAACTTTAGATTAATTATTAATGATTACAATAATAATTATTATTTATATTTACTGTAATTATTATTATTTTTTTAGTTGAATTTATTTCTGTAAATATATATTGATTTTATCGATAAAACTATTACCGATATAAATAGAWATATATATATATATATATATATTGTATAATACAATTTGTATTTATATATTTAACTTGAATGCAACACATATTGAAAATATACAAATAAAAAAAATTCAATATTATTTTTAATTATAAACAAAAAAAACAATAATTTTTATTCAATTCTATAGTTTAGCATTATATTGTCAATCACTAGTAATAATAATTTTTTTTTAAATTATAAAATAAAAATCAATTATTATTATTAATATTTAATATTTCAATCAATTTGCAGACAAATTTTAGACTCAAAATACGGACTAAAGAGATGGCAAATCGGAGAAATTGCATCAAAGATCGGACAACTTTATTATCATTATTAGTAAATATTAATAATAATTATTATTTTGTGTATATCATAAAAAACTATTAATGAATTAATTTTTTTGTTTCTCTCTCTCTCTCTCTCTCTCTCTCTCTCTCTCTCTCTCTCTCTCTCTCTCTCTCTCTCTCTCTCTCTCTCTCTCTCTCTTTCTCTCTCTCTCTCTCTCTCTCTCTCTCTCTCTCTCACCTCTCTCTCTCACTCTCTCTCTCTCATCTCTCTCTCTTTCTTTCATCTCTCTCTCTCTTTCATCTCTCTCTCTCTTTCTCTCTCTCTCTCTCTCTCTCTCTCTCTCTCTCTCTCTCTCTCTCTCTCTCTCTCTCTCTTTATTTATTTATCTGATCCCAGTCTAAGAACTAGTGAAACAAATTATCTGAACGAAGCCTTTTCCTTCTACTCTGCCATCAGAACCCGTGGCTATTATAGCAAAGCAAGTAAAGAGGAAAGGGCTGACCTTATGGTCAAAAAATTACGATATTTCGCCCGATTTATCGTTGTATGCCTTTTGCTCAAAAAGATGAAATTAGTTCGCGATTTAGTGAGGGTTTGTAAATCAAATTTTTAATAAAATATTTTGTTTTTTTTTTTGAATTTTAAATTATTATAAAAAAAATAATGTTATGTTTTATATGTTTTTATGGTTAAGTAGTTTTTATGGTAAAGTTAGATAATATTTTGACTAATATATGTATAAATAGTAAATATATTTTTTTTTGCAAAAAAATATATAATTTTCTTACCTATTAGAATATAGCTGAAATAAAAAATAGTTATAATTTATAATTTAAATTTTTTAATAATAAATTTTAAATTTATTTTAGTCTTTTATTTAATGTTTTTTTTAAATGCAATGTTTGCTCCATAAAATAGATTATATATATACTGTATATATATATATATTAAAAACATTTTATATACATTGCATACGTGATTGTTATCAATGGTACCATAAAATATTTTTTTTAATACTCTATATATATATATTAAATTTATAATCATTTATATAAAAAAAATTTACCATGCTTACTTATATATATAAAGTTTATATATACTGTATATATATAAAACAATCTTATTATAGTAAACTTATCCATAAATATTTAATAATAATAAAAGTTTTTATTTTTATTTTTTTCAAATGATCCATTAATAGAAATGTTTAGTACAAATAGATTTTACAACAAAAACAAAAATAATATAATAATATTATATTTTGTAAGATTATGCATAAATTTTTAAAGTTTTGCAGTTAAATTCAATAATAATAATAATAATTTTTTGTTTATCACTGCAAACATTTTTATTTTATTTAATATCGCCCATCAAAATATATTTTTTTTTTATAAAAAAAAGTTATACATGTATTAAAACATATATGTTACACAACAATGTTATACAGATATTGAATTATTAGATTAAATCTTAATATATAATAATATCCTATAATATAAATATAATGTAAAAAATTTGTACCCAACAAAAAAACAAAACAAAAAATTTTGCTGATATTTTCAATTGACTAAAATCAATGAATAGCTAATAAATAGATAGTTGTTTATATGAATATAAATTACCGAAACTACTAAACCGGTTATTTAAAAAAAAAAAATTATTTATCAATACAGTAATTATTATTTATTTATTTTTTTAATTAATTAATTAATTTTTTTTGGTTGATGATGACCACCCACCAGGAATTGGCCAAACAGATTGACGACTATACTATGACCTACGACCCGGAGGACCAGCTCGAGTGGTCGCTTGTCTTAAGAGAAATCAAATCATTTATAGAGGTATTGTATATAACATAACAAACAAAACAAAAAACAATTAATTTATTCACAAAAAAAAACAATAATTATTATTATTATCAAAATAGGCCGATAATATAGTAACGGTAGTAGACATGGATAACATACCGTTGATTATATCTCATCGATTGAGTCCATTGAATACACCGCCTATGGAAAAGCTGTCGTCGGGGACAACGGCGGCGGCGACCAATCATTTGGCTCTACAAGAGATATTGATTGTCGGCAACTGTACGGATCAGGTGCTGTAAACAACAACAACCAAGAAAATTATAATTAAAAATAATTTTTTATAAAAAAATCAAATTGTAGGTCAAATTTAGTGAACTAACTCTAGATATGTTTCGTATGCTCCAAGCGCTGGAAAGGGAGCCCCAGGAGGACATCGCCCAGATGTACGACATTTCTCCAGCACCGGGTCGTAGTATGCCTTTTACCGATCAGAACGGCGGCGATGGCCATCGTTCAGCGTCGTCCGCATCCAAAAGAGATAACCCACACAAATACCTTCTCTATAAGCCTACGTTTAGCCAATTTTTCGTATTTCTCGCCTCCGGTTTCAAAGAGCTGCCGGCAAATGGAGTCCTTTTGCTCTATTTCTCAGCCGACGGCTGTTTCGTTAATAGCAAACACATTGAAGACGGTTAGTGTGTCCTTCAAAGATTGGTCACCAATTAATTGATTGATTTATTCATATTTTATTATTTCTCTTTTTTTTATTGATTTATTGAATGTCATCACCCATTGATCCATTGAACAGTTGGTTACGATTACGGCGGCGTCATTACAAATCACAAACTACGGGACAGCAGTAGTAGTGGTAATGTTGTCGATCATCAGTCGTCGTCGTCCGCATCCGCGTCGGCTACCAAACGAAACGCTTTGCAAAAAGATATGCACTGTCTATATCCCGGCGATCTCTATCCATTCATACGGCGGCCACTGTTCATCATTGTCGACAGCGACAATAGTACAGCCTTTCAGCACATTCCCCGATTTTTTGGCCAACCACTGGTCGTACTAATGTCGCCGGAAGAGTGTCCGCCGCCATTTCACGACCAACAACACAAGGGATCATTGTTTACATTATTTCTTCATTGCCCGCTAACTGCCATTTGTCTGATATCCAACATTATTGAACTGTCGATACAGTTATGGGAAAAAGGCCAACAACAGATCGACCGGTTTATTCAAGAAGCCGGCCGACTGTTGGTCAGGTCACGGGCCGTCGATCCGGCATTCATACAGTTCTACGGCGACGACTTTCTTCGGCTACAGATTTTGCGATTTATTTTCTGTTGTGTAGTCATGAAAATGCATCGTCTGTTCAAAGTATGTATTGGTCATCAATCAATCAATCAATTGTTTTTAGTTAATCACTATATGATTATTATCACCAAAAAAATCTGATCCATACTTTTTATTGTAGGGCCGACGAACCTATTATCCGAAATCTCATCCGCCGATACCCGACAATGATATTATTGATTCACCGTCGCTGAGACGTCTGATATTAGAAACGGCTGCCATTCTTGACATTCGCTCACTGTTTACGGATGTCGAAGAAGATGAATGACATTCAGTCGCTGTTGACATGATGTTTACACTGGCGTAGTGGAGGATAGAGGGGAGAGAGAGAGAGAGAGAGGCACTGGTGGGTAGGAGACAGGGAACAGACAGACACCAGAAAAAGAGAGTCACCAACCCTTATACACAGTACACAGAGAGTCAGAGAAAGAGAGAGACAGATCCATACATACCATACCACTTGTCTYTCTCACACACACACCCACACCCGGACTAACAGTTTTTAAGCCTTAAGAAATTTTTCGGATCACTCGAGTACTGATGACAACCCCACCCCTGCCAGAGATCTAACCGTTTGTTTGTTTTTATAAACTCTCTGCTCTATTAAATCGATATATATTTATATATTTTTCTTTTTAAAAAAAATTTATATATCGATTATAAAGAAAACAAAAAATCAATATTTTATTAATTTTATTTTTTAATCGTCACTTAATAGACTAACAAACAAATAATAAGAGAAAATTATATGCATTTGAATTATACAATATATGAGACAAAATTTTTCAAAAATAAAAAAAAATAAAATAAATGAGATATTTTTCAGTCAAACAAACTTTAAAATTACAATTAGATATATAATTAGTCAATAAGAAACAAAATGAGAGTAAATGCTATTAATTAATTAATTACCGTAATTACAAAAATATCAATTATTACTAAATTATTAGAAAACTAAATTAGTAATCTAAATGTGAAACACATTTATAAAAAAAAAACTTATTGATAGTTAAAAAAATTGTTTCAAATTAACACCCAATTAATAAATATTAAAGTGATATTTTTAATAGCTCTCACATTTTATTTTAAAAAAATTAATAATGTGCCCAGGTTATATATATATATATATATATATATATATATATTGAATATGTCTAATTGGTACTGAAATTTTACCACAATTTTTGAAATTTCTAATTATTATTATTATAATATTAAATATAACAAAACACTACCAAAGAAAAAAATATATAATATTATCATCAATAGAGAGATAAATATAATTATTTTTTTGGTGCAAATTTATATACAAAATAATAATATTCTAATAATTATTATTAATTCTTTATTATTATTATTATTATTATCCAATAATTACTATATATTTCAACAGCAAAAAAATGATATACACTATATATAAATACAGTATATATATATATAATGATATTTAAAACAAATGTTTGATGGCTTAAAATTTTTACACTTTTAAGATAACCAAAARCAAACAAAAAATATACCGTAATAACAAACATTAAAATTTTATTGATCAATAGATATAAATATATTTTAAATGGTCAAATCAATTACAATCTCCATATAATCAATGGATGATATATTTATAGTGATATTAATTATTGATATATATATATTGGTATATATATATATATATATAGTGTATATTCATTCATATATAACCATTGAGTGCCTCCACTACAGGTAATCAGATTGTTAACAGATATTTATAATAATAAAAAATTATAATGTTATTAAACAAACATTTTAATTAATTAATTAAAAAATATTATAACAATAACAACAACAACAATAATAATAAAACACATTATAATACAAACTATATATTATATTAAAAAAAAATTCTCAGACAATACTATATTTTATTATTAAATTATAAATATTTAATAACAAACAAACAAATATATATATATTTATTTTATTTAATACAGTATTATTATTATTATTATTATTATTATTATTCAGTAAAATTTAAATAACTTAGGACTTATCACTACTAGTTTTTCAAAACAGCAATTAATAAATAAATATAAATATATATATATTTGTTTAAACTTTTACTATAATTGAAATTAAACTAACAAACTAATTATATATTTTAACAAATTAAATGTCACATAAAATAGCTATATATCTATAAAAAAAAGATGATATAAAGATATTATTATAATTACGATAATAATTATTTATTTTAAACAAACAAACAAAACAAATTCACATTAATTTATTATAACTATAATAATGGCAAATAATAATAATACTAATAATTAATTATTATTATACGGTATTTGATAAATTATATTAAAAACTGATAGATAAAAATGTTGTATTTTTATCAAATTAATATATAAATTATAAATGCAAATATTGGTATAATTTATATAAAATTAATAAAATATATTATTTGTTATTTATTTTATTGACAAAAAAAAACAAAACAATTAGTGAAAAATAACATATTTATAAAAATCATATTAAATTAAATATAAGTAAATTATTAAAAAATCTAAAAAAAAATTATTTCAACGCTCATAGATTTGCATAAAAAATTAGTCAATTATATAATTATTAATTATTATATATATATATATATAAAAAATTAATTATTTAAATTTTCAATTGTGTAAATACACTGTAATATATATAAATAAATTTTAATTAGACATAATATACAAAATAAATATTATTATACAAATTATATATATATATAAATAAATAAATATAAAAATTGTTTAATTAAAAAAAATAAATAAATTGAAACTTATTGTTTTTAATTATTAATCCATTATATTCTATATACAGTATAATAATATTATTTTTTAAWAATAAATACAATTAAAAAGTATATGAAATTATCAACAAAAAAATAGTTTTGGAAAAAATGTATTTTTAAGCAAAAATTTTTTTTTGATAATTAGWTTTTTAAAAAAATAATTAACTAACTCATCTCAATCTAACTTAACTTTATTTAATACTAATTTATAGTTTACTTATGATTCAACAAAAATAAAAGTTCATGTATTGGTAATTATGTGTAACAATACGGTACTATTGAATACAAAAAAAATAACACATTTTTATTAATTCAAATGTTTTGCTAAATTATACATTTAATTATCAAAATATAATATATATATATTAAATAATAATAATAATAATACAATAAATTTTAAGTTAACTTTTTTTTAAACCCAAACAAACAAATTATAATTTTTTAATAAAAAAAATTATTGTTATTTAATATACAAAATGTTTTTTAAAAATGTTTTCGCAAAACATTTTTTTGCCGATAAAAAACTTATTTATATATATACACTGAGGGAAAAAATATTAAAATACAAGACAAATATACAAAATACTTTAGACACTTGTCTCGATTTTTTTAGACAGTCTTAAAATTAAATGACAAATGACCCAGGAAAAAACGGTATTATTTGGTAGGACATTTGTCATTTAATTTTAAGACATTAATTCAAATCAAAGGGGCTATATATGTATTAAATATTTAAAATATTTGTACTAAAAATTTAAGACAAACGAATAATTATATATATATGTGTGTATTTAAATAAAAAATTTAATTAAATAATTATTATAGACTCTTGTTATTAAAATGTTATAATATATAGATATTTAAAAAAGACAAATATAATATTTAAATAAGTTAAATTTATTTATTTTAATTAACTTATGTWAAGCAAAAAATATKTAATAAATAAAAYTTATTAATATATATGTTATTAATTTTATATATAAAWATACAATATTTWATTTTGAAATATAATCAAAATATSARTTAAACATATAGAAATAATTGTATAAATGTATTTAAAATATTAATATTATTTAGTCAATTATATTTATATTTATCTATTAAATAAATGAAAAATGMTTGTTAATAATAAATTGTTTGTCTMATTTATTTTGGACATTTGTATGAAAATTTTTATACAATCGTAACATATTTAAATGACATACATAATATTAATTATAGACAATAATATTATAAATTAGATCCAATRGTAGTATAAATTGAGTATAAATGTATAAAATAAAAAATGTTTACAAAAATAATTTTCAGTATAATTAGTAAATTATATAATAACAAATAATGTGTCAAATCAAACACACAGTCTAATAAAATTAAAATTTAAATAATTAACAGATAATAATATTAAAACAATAAATTATTTTTTTAAGGATAGTCTTGTATTTGGCACCTTTGACACTGGCTTAGGCACCTTTRAGGCTGGYTTTGACTTTTTTGGCGGCTTTGGTGTCAATTTATTGATGATAGCTTTACTAGATTTACACAGAGTGCTAACTGTCCATTGAAATAACAATTTTTCGATACATTTATATAAGATATTGTGTACTGTACCATATGAAATATCATCTAAATAATGGTATAAAAAGACAATATAAAAACACAGCATAATAGACATTTCAGGCCATATTAARAGAGGCTTTTCTGGATAAATGATATTAGCAGTCATTTCCACTAAATTAGCACAYTTTAGATCATCCAATGATGAAACYCCAGAAACGACAATATGTATACAGTTTGGTCTGTCTTGACTATCGTTTTCGCAATAAACTAATTGTTGGCCACAAATGTCTTGCAAGCAGAGCAAAGCTATAATTTGTTTGGATTCAACTAATGATAAAATAATAATACAAATTAATAAATAATAACTAACTTTTTAAGTAAATAAATATTTTTTATATATGGATATATACCTGACGTGTAAWAGTCACTGTTTTTGTATGGATTAARAAACTTYTKATAAGTTTCAGTTTTAGCGATAATTGAGTACAAAGCGGAACAATTAGAKGCATAATCTTCATAATACTCATCAGGAGTTTTCTTGCAGTTAACATAAACTGAAGCCATATTTAGTGTCCCTTTTGTTTTRATGTCATTTTCAAAGTGTTGMTGTAAAAGATTGTTAACCTTAAAATAAAAAATAAATTAAGAAATATAAATAAATAAATAAATAAATCAATTTATAAATAAATATACAGAAATAATGACATTCTTTGGATTGTTGTCTTCATTAGCCAGTTCTCTAATTATCTCTAAATTATTGATTTTAGTAGAAGTTTTTAGTGAATTTTTAATTGAATTTTTCAATTTTTTGAAATTTATATTTTTATCACCATTTTCTTCAACTAAATGATCGAYTAATTCAGGTCTCGAGTCATATTCAACTAAATTAACCAAWGATTTTGGTTTAGCGAGTGAATCAATATCTTGGACGGCGTTTTTTAAAACTGATTGATCTCTGGCTTCTGTACTTCTATTACTATTTGACTGAATTCGTGGAACAATGACTTCCAATTGTTTGTCAAAATCATTAGCGACTTTTGGATCCAATGGGTTAGGATATGAATATTTCGACATTTTTTCAATTTCTTTAGCAGTTTTTATCAATAACTGTTCGCTGTTGAGATCATTGTCGTCGCTGTCTTTGAAAACATATTCATCTTCGACTTCAGTTTGACCACTTGTCACTTCAGTTGTTGTCTCTTCAGTTGTTGTCTCTTTCGGAAAAAACTTCACACAAGTAGTTGTGAGCAATGGCTTTGTCTTTGGATTCGATTCATTGKTTTTYGCTTTTTTTCTTRTGGTAGGATTRGATCTTTCATCACATGAAATGTCATCCATTTCAACATTTTCATCTTCCGTACCATCGAGGGATTCATCATTATTTGGATAATTGTTTTCATCGTTTTTTGACACTTTTTTTGGTCGACCTCTCTTTGATGTCGTCTGTGATTTTGGTTTCGGTGAATTGAGTATTTTCATTGGATTTTTCAAACGTATCTATCGCTTGACTTGTATTGTCTGAATCGCAGTGACTTTCAGGCCGGGTATAAGTTCGGGTAGACTTTCCATATACTCCGAGATCTGATAAATTCAAATCAGAAAAGAGATTGCTTGATGACGACGATACCTTCAATTTCTTTGAACCTGAAATCAACTTATTTGTTGTTATGAATGCAGTATTGAATACATTGTTAATGATTCCCATATCTGAAAAATCAAAATCAGAAAAAATGTTTGCTATTTCTTTTGATTTTGRYGCCAACTCTTGAGAGAAAACATCGATCACAGACAGCTTTTGATCACAATTTTTATTGGACTCTTCAGACATATTTGACAATCTTTTATTCAATTATAAAATCTTCTCAAACCGTATACCACTTGAAAACAAACAAAMAAACACACAATTGATTTGTTTGATTGTGATAGCGATTGCAATCGTATTCAACTACTCGGTGGTCGTCTCCGGTAATCAATCAATCARGTCTGCGATCAACAAAAACAATAAGTCATTCGTATAAATAATTATATTATAAAATATTAACKAAAAAAATTATTCAAAAACATACAAACAATTAATTAATTTTGTAATTAAAARTATATGCAATGACTAAATATTTAATGTCGTCTGTCTTTATTTCAATTTATATGTGACTAATTTTTTTTGGTCAACAACAAGTCAACCAATGATTGATTGATTGATTAATTAAATCAATCCAATCCAATCCTATCGTACCTAATATGAGTCATATGAATATAATTTTTTGGACAAAAATACAATCATATTTTGCTAAAATTAAAAAAATAATTATGTATTTATTTAATTATTATGTTTTGTTTTTAGATTTGTATCAAAAATTTACATATCAAAAGTTTTTGTATTATACTGTATAATGATATAAAAAATACATGCATAACAGTTATAATATAATACAATACAACGAAATTAAAACTAAATGATAAACAAGACATTTCATATCATAATATATGTAATTATAAATAAAAATTATTATTGTATTGTAATTTCACAGAATCTTTTTAATTGTATAATTATTGAAACTTTTTAAAACTTTAAAATATGATTGATTGATTGATATAATTAATTATTAATTCATTTTTATTATTAATTATATAACTTTTTGTTGTTATATATATATATAATATGTATTTTTTAAGAAAATTATATAAAAATAAATATTCAAATGACTTATTATACAAATTATTAAATGTTTACTTTATTGTAATATTTTTATGTATGATTAAAGGCAACTTTAAAGGATATAATACTGAGTTTTTGTATAATTTGTTAAGTAAATTATAGTCTWAAAATATAATTATTTTTATTATTTTATTTGTAGACAAYATTATTAATTGTCATTAATAAAAAAATYGTGTCTAATATTTTGTAGACAAAAAAAAACCTACTGGGCATGCCATAATTTACCATTATTTTTAAATATAAATGTCTTTTATTTTATATACAAATAAAATTTGACTTAAAATATAAAGACAATTAGATTTATTTTATTGGACATTCCAATGCTTTACTGTAAAAACAAAAATACTTTTGAGATTTTATTGTCAGTGTACGCTATGTGTGGACACAACCAACCCGTGTGTGTGTGTGTGTGTGGCCTCTAAACGTCGGCCAAAAACTTTCCGATATTAACAAAACGGTCGGCGTTTTGTTGGCCAACAATCTGTTGATAATCACTATCCGTGGCTAACCTATTGGCCAGACTTTGGCGCAACTGTTGATCAAAAGACTGGTTGATAAGCAGTTGGTCATCGGCGGCGGCGGCGGCGGAAGCAGCGGTCACTTCGGCAACAATTTCATCGACAGTCGACGACACTATTGGTTCGACATTTACGGAACCGATGGCCCGCTTTAGCGACGAACTGATACACAAGTTATACCGCGGCGACGGTTTCGTCTCTGTTTGCGACCGCTTACGAGCACTACACTGGACGTAGGCGTCGCTCAGTGGCCGCTGTCCGCTGCCGTCGGGCAGTCGTTGGCGTTCAACGTCTTTAATGATGATATTGACCTTAAAATCAAGACAAGAGGTTAGAAATTATAATCACATTTTCGGTTAATATATACCCATTCGGTCGGACAATCGGGTAGCGGTGGCGACAGTTGCTGGCCATTGGCCGCCGCACTGTTTGTTACCGACATTACCGATGTTTTTGAATTAATTAATTAAAGTTTTTTTTTTAAAAAAAAACGATTTATTATTAATGTATTTCAATAATACTGTAGTAAAAAAAAAGTATATACATGTGTAAATACCGTAAACACCTATACTATTATATATATATATATATATATATATATTATGTAGGTTTCGGAAAGTAAATTCCCTCCCTTGTTTGATTATTTCCAAATATATTACTCTATATTCCCTCTCCCCTCGGGGAAATTCCCAGGGAATCTATTTCCTAGTCTAAAAATACAACAAATTTTATTATAAAATTTTTCAATTTAACAAATATTGTATTTTGAGTGTTGTATTGCATATATAATAGTATCACTTGAATTCAAATTTATTATTAATTTTTTAAAAAATATTTCGATGAAAATTTTATGTAATTTTTTAAAAAGTTTTAGTATTTATTGTATAAAATATATTTACCGTACTCTAACCGCAGTTAGGGATGGAATATATAATAGTTTCCCTATTTTCCGGAAAAAATTTGTGAGACATTTTATTTGGGAACTTCCCTCTCATGGAAAGTTGGCCGACAACTCTAATTGTCTGTAAAATAGAGGTGTGCGTGCGATTAATATTTGTGTAATTCTATTAGTGTTTATGTATATTACTCATAGAGTGCAACACATATTCATATAGTTTTTTATTTTTCAATTAATAGAATTCTAAATAGAATTTATGTATAGAATATATATATACTGTATTCACTAACAGTGTATAAAATCTATGTATAGACTCCGCCCACAACTATAACTAAAATATAGAGAGAATATTAACAGAATATTCGTGTTTTTTTTATTAAACAAATTAAAAATATTAAAATTTTTTATTACTATTAAATTTAAATTACTGTTATTTTTAAAAAAAAAAACTTTTACACAAAAAAAAACTATTTAGAAAATACATATTCCATTTGTGTTTGTATTTCAATAGTTCATATGTTAAAATAATTTCAATTATTGCATCTAGTAAAAAAAGTAAAACTATTTATTATATATGAATATACAAATAGGTGTACACATACACACACATACAGTACATACATACATACACATACACACACACACATATATATACAGTACATACATACAGTACACACACACACACACACACACTTACAGACACTAATATTTTAAATAGTTATAGGAATAGTGGGAAAAAAGTTATTAGTTTTTAATTTTATTAATTGATTTTTATATCTAATGATCTAATCATTAGATTTTATATATATATATCTTTTCCTAATCCTCTTGCGCTTCATTAGACTGATCTCTAGGCCCACACAGGTATTGATTGAGTGATAGTTATAAAAAAAATCTTATCAATAATTATTTGAGTGATTAGAGACTCTTTAAAAAATTATTCTCACATTTAGTTCAGCCATTGACTTAGTTTTTACTAATGATTATTATAACTGATTATAATGTTTATTAAACAATTTTGTTGTTTTAATGATTTTAATGTTTTTATTTTAACTTTATTTAAAAAATAAAACGTATGTTTATAAATCAATATTATGATTTATTAAGTAATTAATTATATTTTATTAATTTAACATTAATTAAAAGTAATAATACTAAATGAAAGTTATATTTACTTAATTTTTTAATGTTTTTGCTAACAACAACATCAAAATATAAGCCATAAATATTTTAAAAAAATATAAATACTAACAGAATATTCTATGTGTGTATATATTGTGTATTGCATTTAATAGTAGATATTTAATACAATATATAAAATTCAGATGTTAGTAGTGAACCTTTGAAAAAAAATTATTATATGATTTAATAATATCAATAATAATAATAATAATAATAATAATAATTAAACATATATTAATAATAGTAAATTAAAATATATTTAAATCAAATAATGATATACATGTGTATATTATGATAAATACGTTAATTACATTTGATTTGCAAATTTTTATATTAGTTTTTGATTTTTAATTAAAATTTCCAATTGATTTTTTAAAAATGTGTATTGAATAGAGATAACATACAAAATTACAAATTACTTATATATTAATATATAATGAAAATTATTAAAAATATAGATAATGTTTTGTGTGTGTGATTTGCATACAATAATAATAATACATTGAATTCAAATAATACAATTAAATGATAGTTATTTTTGTTATAATGTTTTCAAATTAAACTATGATTGACATTAGTATTGATAAGTTTTGCTAAATATAGTTATTATTAGTACAGTATTATTATTAATAATGTTATAATATAATAATGATTTAATAAATAACTGTTTAAATAGATTATTATTTTCATTTTTAAAAATAATTTTGCAATGTATAATTACTATTACTAATAGTATAAAATATTATTATTAATATACTGTAATATACAATAATAACTAAATTTTGGTATTTTTATTTATATACAATGTGAAAAACAAATTAAATATTATTATTATTGTTATTATAATTATTATAATAATAAAACAAAATTAATATACAACTAATATTATACATATATATTAATTATATTGTTAATTAAAAATGTTGTTTTGTCTAAAAAAATTATATTATTATTATTATTATTTTGTATTAATTAAATAATACTTACGATTTTATATACAATAATATTATTGAAAATAATACAGTATATAAAAAAATATTAGATAATTAATATTATTTAATTTATTTATGAAATTAATTATTATTAATTAAAAAAAATAATAATGTTATCTATACTATAGAATTGTATATTCAATATAATTTGTATTAAAGTATAACTTAATATATATTGAATATATATATATATATACTGTATATATATTATTAAGTTATACTTACTGTGTATATGTACTTAAATGTCAGATTAATATGCATTTCAATGATTTTTTACTTTTAATGAAAACATATATACTTGTATAACATTATAATTATATATTTATGTTATAAAAAAAAGTTTAAGAAAATAATATCAAATAAGTCTCAAATAAATATATAAAAAACACATGTAATACATCTAATAGAGAGTTAATGTTAATCTTTTTAATTTAACAAATGTTGTGTCAATTGAATGTTATTTTTTATTTTGCTGAGTGTTTTTAATACCACTATTATTATTATTTATAAGAAAACATCTATTCAGTAGAGAGGTATACAAAATATATTGTATATAATTTATTTATATAAAGAAAACCTTAATTTTTTTTTGGTGACAAAATTAGATCCATGAAAAACATGTAATTGAAAATTTAAAAAATTACTATAAATACACCTAGATTAATTTTATTTTAATTATAAAATATTATTAATTTATAGGCTCTCTCTCTCTCTCTCTCTCTCTCTCTCTCTCTCTCTCTTATGAATAATGTCAATATGTATCTAATAGATTTATCTAATTAATATAGGGAGTGGGGGTGGATGGGGGGTGACGGCAAATATTTGCATCTATTTGTACATATAATAACATACAATATATTTTTAAAAAAAAATTATTATTTCATTAAATTAAAAATTAGCAAAATATATTTGAAATGAAACTTACAATTAATTAATTAAAAAATAGCGATATAGTCTATTATGTATTTGTATCTGTGTGTGTGTGTAGGTGTGGGTGGGTTAGATCCCAGGGTAATATTGCTGTTATCAGGGCTCTTAAATGTCAGGGTTCTGGAAATTTTATTCAATGTTTGTGTAATTAATAAATAAGTCTATAGAAAATTAAAAATAAGTATTGAATAGTATTGAATTGAAAAAAAAATTGCAAACTATTACTGTGTGTGTGTTTGTATGTGTTTGTAGTGGTGTGTATGTCTTCAATCATGTAAATGTATTTTCAATAAAAAAAATAAAATTTTGCAAAATAAAAAATATATATAAACTGGAAATTCATTACATTTAAACAAAACAAAAATCTGGGGTAAAAGTCAAAAGTTTATAATTAAAAAAAAGCAAGAAAATTAATTTTAATACATATTTTTTGATAACAAATCTCTCTCTCTCTCTCTCTCTCTCTCTCTCACTCACTCACTCACTCACTCACTCACTCACTCACTCACTCACTCTATCTATTTATCTCTATCTCTCAGTTATAATTTGGTTTTAATCACAGCCGCCATATAAATCCAGTCTCGTTTTTGTCATACAAATAACAACACCTACATACATACACACACACACACCTACACACACACACACACACACACACACACACACACACACACACACACACATACATACATGACATTTGATTTAATGGATTTCTCAATTTTAATGTATTATATTTTATTTTGTATGTGTTATTTAGAAAAAGCAATAGATATGTAGATTTTGAGAAATAAAAAAAAATAATTTCTGATTAAATGCTAAGATATCTGTACAGTATATACTATATAATGTACAGTATATAAACTGTATACCAGTATATAACGAGTATTTAAAAAAAATAATTATAATGACATTTACAGTGTATAAGCTCTATATAAATGTGATGAGAAATAATATATATATATAAAAGAGTTTATTCATTGAAAATAAATTTCATGAAAGATTGAAGAGAGAGAGAGAGAGAGAGAGAGAGAGAGAGAGAGAGAGAGAGAGAGAGAGAGAGAGAGAGAGATGTTATGTATTACAGTTAGAGAGCATTGGTATGTATTATTGTACTGTTGTTGTTGTTATAGTAGTACTAGTATGTAGTGATTGAATAGTTAATATGAAAAACCAGTGGCGCATTCAGAAAAGGGCTGTAAATATACTATACTTTATATATATTTATATATATATACAGCATATATATATATATAGATATATGTTTTGTGATGAATGAGTCTCAAGAGTCAAGAGTCCGTCAAAAGGGAAGTGCAATTAAAACCACTTTTCAACACTAAAGCCGATGAGTTCATGACTACAACAACATTAACAATACAACTACTAGTTTATAGTATAGTACTGTACTATACTATACTATACTATACTATCTATACTTTCATATAACAACAACAACAACAAAAAAGTTATATAACAAAAATTATATTTTATTGCTCTCTACTAATACTAAAGTA